TTTGCATGTTTCCAGGATCAATAAGTCGTTATTAATTAATGAAATGTTGCATTTGCATGACTGTATATTTTGTAAAACTACTTATAATAATTTGTTTGAAAATTCCAAATTGCTACGAAAAATCTTAATTAATTAATTTCTCATTGTATGAATCTTATATAGAATGCTTTTATTTATTTATACAATTTTACAAAATACATAAAATCACACGTCACTTAAAAAAAAAATAGTATATTTGTAACGGAATTTCGTTCCTAAAGTTCACGTAGCTAACGTAATTTCATCCCTAATTTCGTCTCTAATATCATTAGTAACAGAAAAATTGTATTTAAGAACGAAAAAATCTCGTTACAAAATTGATATTTTTTTTTAGTGCCTCTCCTTAGTCGCTAATTGAATAATAAATTTGAAGCAACAAATAAATTATATCAAATGTATGAATTATTGGAAGAATAATGAGAAGGAATGAATAAAATGATTGGTTTGGTGTGGAGTAACTATCAAATCCACCAAAATATTGAAACAACGATGTAATTATGTATTTTAATTATATTTTAAATTTTAAATTTTATAATTTTTTTAATTTTAATTAAACAATTTATTTATTTAAATTTAAATTTATAATTATTTTTATTAATATATTTTTTAATTATGTATACTAATTGAAGGGAAAAAATTATTTTTGGTCCTAATATAATCAAAATCTATCAATTTTGGTCGCAATATAAACATCTTATCAATTTTGGTCCAAATATAACCAAAATTTATTATTTTTGATTCCAATATAACCAAAACTCATCATTTTTTATCCTAATATAATCAAACCTTATTTTTTTTGGTCTCAGCGTTAACAAATCGACGAAAAAATGCTGATGTGGACTTGCAAGATTGTGCAATTTCTTCAAATATAAATATAAGATTTGATTTCTTTTCACGTCAGTATTTTCCGTCTGTTTGTTGAAGGTGGGACCAAAAAAAAAAATAAAGTTTGATTATATTGGGACAAAAAACGATGAATTTTGGTTATATTGAAACTAAAATTGATAAAATTTTTATGTTGAGACAAAAAATGATGAGTTTTGATTATATTGAGACCAAAATTAATAAAATTTTATATTAAAACTAAAATTAATAAATTTTGATTATATTTGAACTAAAAATATTTTTTTTTCATAATTGCAATATATAACAGTATCGCACAAAACATGGAGTTTCAGACAAAATTAGAGTTTTTTCTGCAGCAGCATCAGCATCAGCTTTGGGCGGCTGCTTGCCTGCCTGCCTCGTCAATATCAACATGAACATAAATGTAGAAGTTAATAAATACTTTCTGTACGAATAAAATAAAAAAGATTAAAATAATATAATCAAAAACGGAATTGTACATGATATAAATGTAATGATATTTGTATAATATTTTATAAGTTATAAGAGTATTTTTAATGTTATTGGAAAGTAGAATTATCAAAAACGGAAATAAATAATTTATTATCAGATGTACCAAAATAAAAAAATAGATAAATAGTTAAGAACGAATGAAATATTATTCTCTATTTTAAATAAATTGTTTTTTTATTTTTTTATTTATCCTACATAATTTATCTTTTTATAAATTGAAAATATGATTATATACTTTTATTGAATTTTAAAAATAATAATTTTAATTTTAATTAAAATATTTAGTTATTTTAATCATAATATATAATTATTTTTATTATATAATAATTATTTTTACTAGGTCCGACCAATCAAATTACGTTAAGCGAATCATGTGTGACAAGTAAATCTTTAGGTGTCAGAATCTATAAACTCACGATTACGTATTCACCTCCAAATTACTAGACCATCGTTTACGAGTCTTTTCATTTGAAGACCTATTATTATTTTAATAATGTAAAAAATTACAGTCGCTATTCATATTTTGGATAAACTTTATTATTATTATTATTATTATTATATGAAATGGGTCGGGTGGGACCAATTGCAATTTAGCAGCTTGCCGACACTTTTTCTTGGGGTACGGTACGCCAATATTGTTGGTCTTTTCATATGCTACAATATTTTTATTTTTTATTCTCTTCGGGTTTATGTTATTTTTATATTTCCTTTGTCCCATCCCATTGGTTGTCTTAATTACTATATATATACGAAAATTTAAAATAAATATAATTAGTAAATATACGAGAATCTTGTTTTAACTTTAACTCTCAATGGTAGAATTTAAATTTGCCATAAAATTTTGTGATTATTAGTTTTTTTTTTCCTAGTAGTGTATTATACTAATTTTTTTTAAAAAAATATATTTAATATTAATTTTTATTAAATTATTATATAGAAAAGAAACTAAGAAGATAATTTGACACTTCCTATTGCTTTAAAGGATCACCGAACTCTCTTGTGATTTCAAAAATTCTGCATTTAACCCTTATTCCATTACTAATTAATGGTGATTACTCTACACGTGTCTTAACTATGAATGTAATTCATAAACTACACACTACAAAATCATTTTGACTATTGATAAAATGACGGTTAAACTTACAAGAGAGTTTGACGTAATTTTATAACAGTAGATGATTTCGTGCAATTTTCATAACTCACATGTGGATATTATACTATTGGGCCTTATTTTTATTCAAACTTTTATTGTCTCCCTCCGTCTCAACTCAAAGTGTCATTTTTATTATTTTGCGTTTGTCTCACTCAGAAGTATTTCTTTTCTAATATAATAAAAATATATTATATACAAATATCAAAATATCTCTATTTTAATATAAATTACAAAAATTTATTACTTTATTTGTACTTTATAAGGACAAAAACATCAACTTCACTTACATATTTCTACTAATCATTAAAATACAATTATTTCTTAATTTATTAAAAAAAAAGTAACTCTTTAAAATGAGATGGAGGAAATATATAGAAATTTAAAAAAAAAAAGTTAGAAATTATTAGGATCTGATTAGCCTAATCAACATATAAAAAATCCACACTTAGTACATAATTTTAATTAATACAACTTGTGCTCACAATGCTATATGAATATATCTCATATGCTAAGATGAATAGTAATATATCATGTGTAAAATAAACACTACAAAAAAATAATATATTTGTAACGGAATTTCGTCCCTAAAGTTCACGTAGTTAACGTAATTCCATTACTAATTCCGTATCTAATGTCATTAGTAACGGAAAAAATAGATTTAGAGACAAAAAAATTTTGTTACAAAAATGATTTTTTCTTGTAGTGAAACTCCCTTCATCCCAATACAATAATCTTGTTTACTATTTTTATCTGTCCTAATACAATAGTCTTATTTTCATAAATAATCATATCACCATAAATACTACCCATACATTTTTATTTTTATTACACAATTGCCACTACTTTTTATACTAATACACTCACAAGGGCAAAAGAATCTTTTATCCATACTTTTTACCAATTACCAGTATAATATCAATATTTCTTAAATCCCGTGTTCAATCCAATTAAGACTATATTTATGGATCGAAGGGAGTATGATATTATATTATTAATTTATATGCTATATTTGTATTATATAAATATAAATTTTGTATCTCGTATTTACTACAAGCAATATTTGTCAATTTTCTATTTGTTCATATTATTTCATTTTTAAAGATGATCAGATATAATATCCTGCAAAATATATATATATATATATATATAAAAGTCACGGATTATTAAATTAAGTTGATTTCTTTGACAAAAAAATATGCTATTTATTTCAATTTTAGGGGCAATGCCATTTTTCTCAAAGTAAAGCAGACAAGATTTCCATGTCGTTGAATAGTTAAACTGACAAAAAATCTAAAAAATTAAATTTGTCATACACACACACACATGTCATTCAATTTAAACCTAATATTTGATTCCCCATAACAATAAAATAAGTCCAAGTTGTTGTTCAAGTAAATTTGGGGCAACTTTAATTAATTAAATAATAAATACACGTAAATTTGTTCTCTCCCATGCAACTAATTAACATCGACAAGATTTTATCAAAAATAATAATAATAATAAAAAAAATCTCCCATGCAATTTTACAAAAAAAATTTCTCCCACTATATTTTTTTTTCATGTATACACAAAAATGTCACATATTTCTTACACATATTATACTTTAATCCAATAAATTATATTACTAACCTCGAAAAATTTTAATTTCATCCTTACAAAAATAGACGCAAATAATATTTTTTTCTTAATTTTTGTGCCCAAAAAATTTGATAGTCATTTTATAAGATGGAATGAGTATCAATTAAAAAATAGAGCTGTATAATATAACGATGATCAAACATCTAGAGGCCTAAAAGATAAAAAGCCCAATAGAAAGCCTAGTAAAAAGGTCTGCTCTAATTAAATCAAAGGCCCAATGAAATCAGCCCAAAAAAATGGGCAGGCCATTTCGAACCAGTAACCTATACAGACAAGACAAAAACGTTGTAGGAATATTAACAACAAAATAATTAAGAGAAATGACAGCAGAGAAAAAAAATCAATTAGAATTAATTTTTTATTTTTATTTTTTAGTAAACAGATAATTCTGTTTGATAAATATATAAAAAAAATTGCAGTGGTTTGGATGCTAATCAAGAAGAAATTATTAATTGGATAATAAGATTCTATATTTTGTAAGATCATATTTTAGTATTATTTTTTTAAAAAAAATCATAGAAATAAAATAATAGAATGTTTTTTTTTTAAAAAATAAATAAATTTATTCTTTACTTGAATATGAGAGAAAAGAAATAAAAAAATAAAAATTATCAATTTTGACTTCCATGACTCAAATAAACAAATATATATATATATATAATATTTTTCTTTTTGTATTTTCATTTCATTTCACATAATAACAAATATAAACATTATTCCCAAATCAAAAAGATGCAGTACATACTGAAACTGAAATATATATATATGTATATAACATAACAATTAGGCAAAAAAAAATAATGTTATTGAATTAAAGGGGCAATCCCTTAGTCCACCTGCTTATCATTTCCAATGAGGGTTTTGGCTGATCCATTGGAACTAAGTGACCTGCATTGTATACCTTCAAAAAGCTCAATGGCCCAAACCCCTTCTGCAATCCAAAATCCTTTCCATCCACCATGAATGAACCATTCTTAGCTGCTGCATATTGCTTCTGCCCTGACCAAACTAGCTCATCCACCCACCTCCAATTCCCTGCTCAATTCATATGAATCATTAATTCTTAATTTAGGGTTTATGGTTTTAGGGTTCTAACTATATAGATATATGTACATATATTGATCTTCTTTCTTACCAAGCCAATTGCATATAAGATCGTACTCGCCGGCATACACTAAAACTTTTATGCCAAGATCCAAGAGGCTAGGAATTCCATCTGCAAGGTTTCTCATCCAATCGGCAGACATTGCCTGATAAACTGTCGTGCTACAAGAGACGTACTCGATATCCCCCACGCCGAGAGCTTTTTTAACAGGATCTTGATTTAGAAATGTTTCCACATTCGAGAAGTCGTAGCACATTAGCCCCTCACATTGCTTCCTTATATCATAATACTGCAGCAAAAAATAGTTCGCTATTTATTCTAGTCGATGATTGGTAACATTTTTTGGCGAATGTTCTTACATTTATATCGCCAGCAATTGCGAGTATGTCGTTGAAAATCTCGCCACAAACATTGTATGCTTTATCACAAGAATCTTTGGCATTAGGTCCTAGACAAGAGGGTAGATTCACATTGTTAGAAGATTTAAATTAGGAATTTCGGATTGAGAAATAAGTGTGCAAATAAAATGCTTGGGATTATTGATTACCACAAGGTTTGGTTGCTTGTTCACAAAATGAAACTTTCTGTTGCAACATATCATAATCGGCTTGTTGTATAAGCTTTGCATTTAGAGCATAATCAGGGTATGCTTTGTATTGTATTGCTGGATTGGTAAGTCCATTTCCAATGGCAAATCCCTACATATATATATATATATATCATACAATATAATGTAAGGTCGATGAATTGCATATATATATATATATTAACTTTAGTAAAATGTAAAAATGTTTAGAGAAGAATCCTTTATCATTAGATATGTAGAGGGAATAATTCTTGACAAGAACCATGTAAAAAAACCTTGTTGAAGGGCAAGTGATCTTTTACAAAACTTTTGGAGATCATCAATAATTTTGGGTTTAGGGTTTTGACATTTTTAAATTTCATCTACAAGATTCCCAATAAAAATACAATATATCCCACACAAAGTATATCAAAAATTTATTCAAATCAAAACTCAAAATCAAACAGAAATAATTATTTTTTATTTTTAATATTATACTACAAACCTATTTAAATTCAAAATAAAATATCAACGTCTGTTTATATCACATCAAACAATTTTTAATTTCAAATTTTTAGTATAAAAATTCAACCAAAAATCCAAACCAACCCTCAAAAGAACACAGGTTTCTCAGGAGATAACACTAAAAATGAATAATCGATAAACCTCATCAATATAAATATATGAACATACCTTCATATTGATATGAATTCCTTCATTTTTTTGATTTGCTTGATGAATCCTGGAGGCCAAAGCAGGAATGTAATGTCCAGCATATGATTCTCCAGTAATGAAAAAATCATTCTTCACAAACTGAGGATGTTCTTTGAAGAAGGCCTGACATCATACATTGTAAAAAAGGAAACAACATTTGTGTCAACAAAAAAAAAGCTTCATAATTAACAACAAACATAGAATACATAGACCATGAAAATCAGACCTGTAAAAAGCTATAAAGATCATTGCTAACACCCTCCTCGTCGCTCCGAATGTCGCGATCATCAGAACTATAGCTGAATCCAGTTCCAGTTGGTTGATCCACAAATATTATATTCGACACCTAAATCAATTTCAAGAATTCCAATGGCTGAGTTCAAAACCAATCAAAAAATTCACACATATGCTTTTATATACATATATATGTATGTATATGTATACCTTGTCCCATCCAAAATCATTCAATGATAAAGACAAATTGCTGGTTATGTGAAAGGGGCCATTTTCATAGAACAAAGCCAATTCACTCCCACATCCAGGCCCTCCTGTTAGCCATATCACTACAGGATCTGTCTGGTTGCCCCTCGATTCAAAGAAGAAATAGAACATCCTGGAAAGTTTTATCGTTGACAATTGATGATTGAATTAATAGAAAATAATCCATGATCATAAAACCCTAATGAAGAAATAGAACATCCTGGAAATTTTTATCATAGACAATTGATGATTGAATTAAAAGAAAATCCATGATCACAAAACCCTAATTTAGAAAAAATCATCTAATTGCAAATTCAACAGTGAAGTATACAAAACCTTGCATTTAAGGTGTCTGGCAGCCTGTAATAGCCAGCATGATGAGCCAAGTCTTGTACTGAACTCCCGGTACCAACGACAAGAGGCAAATCCAATCGCTTTTCGACGATCCCTGAGGAAGAAAGATTGATGTCCTGATCTGAGGTATGAATGTTCACTTCACTCTTTGGGAACAAATTAAGGGCTCTGATGAGTCTTTCAGCATATGCTTTTGGGAACTTCAGATTTGCAGAATTGGGTGTTAAAATGTCTCTGGATTGTAGTGTAAGAGAAACACAACTGAGGACAATCAGGAATCTGTAAAGGATTGAGTCCATGATTCAATTGTACACTGATAAGAAATGATTCTCGAAATTTTCACAACTGATTTATATATAAATGATTTTCTACCAGAAATGTGTATCGATTGTGCATTTAAGTTACTTTCTCTATATAACTCATTCCATAATTATTTATGAATAATTTTCTTCATTAAATGAATGATCGGTGAGATGAAAAGACTCCAAATGAAATTAATTGGCTTTCATGACATCGTTATTATATTTATGAGTAGAGTACATTCTTGAAATGTTTCTGGAAGAATGTATGCATTTATAGGTTTAATGGTTTTTCAAATTCTGCTCTTATTTGTGTATATAAGTCATATTAAGTCACCTCTCTTTACAACAAATGATCTTCGTAACGTACCTTTGATTCATTAGAAATAAATATTCAAATTAATTCTGTAATTTTCCCGAAAGCAAAACCGATTTGTCTTCAAATTTGAATATTATTTTTTGTGGATTTCTAACAAATTTGTACTATTTATTCATTTTTTTTATATTATATTAAGAATTCTTTTTATATTCAAATATCTCGTTAACATCTATTTATATTATATCAAACTGAAGAAAATGAAAATACAACTACTGTGTATCTTACAGTTCATTAACCAAGGAAGAAGACGATATATATATATATATATACAAAAAATCTACCTCTAACAAACTCTAACAACCTAATGGGCTGACCCAAGAAAAATAAACCTAAATCAATCAAATAAAATACAACAGCAAAAAAAAAAAAAAAAAAAAAGGCCATTATAACCTAACACAATTTATCACCATAGTCTTCAATCTTCTTAATTCTCTGCTTCTCTTCTCTTTCCATAACTTGACACAAACAACCGTCTAAATTCAAAATTATATTATTTAAAACTTAAATTCACAATTAAATCCACAAACAAACACACCCACACGCTTGAGGGGTAATTTTATTTTTTTTAAAATGTCAAATATTATTATTTTTTATATAATTTAAATAAATTGCCTCATAAATGTCAAGGGATTTTTTTTAATCTTTTAGGTATAAGATTATATTTTATTTCATGTTTCTACAATCTTTCATTTTTTTTTAAGAAAAAATAATTAAATTGTCAGTTTGAACCGAAAAACAATAGTTTGAAGAATTTAAAACTAAAATCAAATTATAAAAAATTGATTGATTAGACAATTCCACCCCATGTTCAGAGACTGATTCTATCACTGCCCGATTTTGAATATTTAGGCTGTCTTCTTCCATTGTTTACAAGATTTTTGGTTTTTTTTTGTTGTTAACTATTATAAATTATAAAGATATTATTAAAATATTTATGTTTTAAATATTTTTCTTTTTTTTAAAAAAAATATATTTACTAAAAACTATGCATTTTCACCCATTGTAGTCTATCATCTCCCACCTTCTAACAAGCATACATTACTAACTTATTCGATATGACATGACTCTGATCCACTTGTTTTCTTCTACTTGTTTTTTTGTCCAGCAATTCTTCTTAAATGAGTAGTTCAATCAATTACTCCCTACCAATTTTGGTATATTCAGAATACAAACAACACTTCAAGATACCACTTTATTTTGAAAAGAGATATTTAAAATAATGTAACCACAATTGTTCACCACCAGTAGCAATGCTCTCAATTAAATTAAAATAGGAAACGACGAGACTCTCATTGAAGTATTAAAAACGGAACTCTCACGTGCAAGGAGAAAATACGTAATTTTTTTTTTTTAATCCTCTACCTGAAAGTGCGCACTGGGTAAACCCCCAGCCGAATTTAATACCCTGCAAACTAGATCCGACATGCAAGTCACACTAGACGAATCATGTGTGACAGGTAGATCTAAAGGCACGTAGCTCTGGAAAAACACATCAGACGAATCGCAGATTGATACGCATACATGATTCTCAGATTCAGACGCGAAAACTAGGATTTTGAACAATATCAAAATTAAAAACAAAAAAGACTTGCAATTATAGAAAATATATCAAAATTAAGAGATCTCCGGTACATTCCAAGTTGAATGTAACAAGAGAAATAGGGTTAGTAGAATGTCTCTATTCCAAAGAACAATAGGTTATACTATGTGAGAATATTTTACAAAAACTTAAAAATTGCATAATTATTCATAATAAAAATAAGGGCATATATATATATATATATATATATATAGACACCGATATAACAGTGATACTCCGGAGTTGGGCCGTTGCTTGACCAAATCTGGTGTGTGGATGAGCTGGTGCTAGACCATCTGAAATTGAATATAGATTAAATATATTGAATAGATGCAAGCGTGTCGCAAAGTTGCAAAATAAAATATTAGTTCCTACACTACAAAAAATTTGCAAAATGCAGTAGTTCGGTGAGTAGGGTCGTCTCCGTAGGGAACAATAATATATATATAATGGGGGGTTGAATTTATCACACTAAATTAGGAGAAAATAAATTCGCTCAACTAAATAAAATAAAATAAAATGCAAAGCGGAATACCAAAGATGATTAAACTCTAGCATAGGCATGAAATTTCTGTTCGAAATATAAATTTTGTTCATCGACTAAAAATCAAATTCATTGACTAGTTGGATAAATTGTTTATAGTTGAGAGTTTTAATGACTCTATAGCTTTAAGTACTTGAAATGCCCGATTCAATTTAACAAAATTCCTACGCGGATTTGTTTAAAATTGATTCTAATTCTTCCCTAGAGTATTTCTCTATGTTGCTACACCAATTGAAAAATTACACAATTACGGGTGTCAATCTCCAATTTAGCTACGTGCGCAATAATCAATTTAAGATTTCTAAACTTATAAATTAGAAGAATTAAAAATACCCAATATTGATTAACACCAAATTAAACAAAATCAAGTCTCACAAATTCAATTCCAAACATAAATAAATGAAATTACTCGAAATTCATAGGAGTTGCAAATACAAAACAAATAAAGAAGTTCATCGTGCCTTCAATTTTGAAATCGACAAAGAATAACAATATGAAGACAAAATCAAGTCTCACAAATTCAATTCCAAACATAAATTCACACATACGCTAGAAATGAAATTACTCGAAATTCATAGGAGTTGCAAATACAAAACAAATAAAGAAGTTCATCGTGCCTTCAATTTTGAAATCGACAAAGAATAACAATATGAAGATAGAAGAAGAACGCCTTGAAAAGTCGTCTGCAATCCTCTTCCAAGTTCTCCTCTCTTCCGTCGTGTTCTTCCTTCTTTCTCTTCAAATAATATGGTGTCGTGGTAGAGAACGTGGTAGTCCCATTCTCTTCTCCTCTTCAATTGAAAAAATCGTGTCTTTTAAAAGTCCATCCCAAATCTCCTTTTAAATAGATCCCCTTTGCACTTCAATCCTCACATACTCTTTATATTGTTAATTTACCCCAAAGGACCTTTTTGTAAATTTCACATTTCTCACATTGTGTTGCGTGATCACGTCTAAAGCCTTCGTGCGTTCTGCTCATTGTACCAAATACACCCTAAAACATGTCAACTTCATGAAACCTATTACGCAATAAAAAACACATAATAAGTTGCATATATACGAAATTTCGTATCTCAAAAGTCGCCCAAAACATAATAAAATATCATTATATACAACACATATCAATAAACTATTCATGTCAACAATGTGCATATTCCTTTTCGTGAACTCTACTGAAAAGATAAATTTTCGGTTGAATTTAATAATTTACAAACTAAGTCCGATAAGATAAATCATATTAGACGAACCATGTACAACAGACATAATTACAAGTTCACCGCATACCACCGGATCATGTAGCTCCTTATCTTGTCCTTACTTTTATTTGTTTGTTTGTTTTTCTTTTTTTGGTTGCATTTCTTTTTTCTTGCAATACATTTTGCTTTATTTCATATTATTTTTGTTAGTCTCCCTTTGATTCTTCAATCTCAAAGTTATTTTTTATCATTTACAATTGTAATCCTCCAATCTCTAGCAGATCTCCGATTGAAATTTTCGAACAATAACCACCATTTATTCATGTAAATATTTTCTTTTTCTCGGGCATAGTTTGCAGAGTATTAAGTTCGGCCGGGGGTTTAACCAGTGTACACTTTCGGGTAGCGGCCGCATGTTCTCATGTCATAAGAAAAATAAAAAAATATAAAAAATTTCCTTCTTGTGTATGTTGTCTGCGATTTGTGTATTCCAATTATTGTTTCTTCAAACAAATCAAAATTTCATTATAACATACCAAATGAATGTTGTCATTTCTGTACACTGAACAAACTAATCGAAATTAATATGGTTACGAGTGTCATGTTTCAATTCAGACCAAGCTTGATGGCTTCTCAAAGGCTGTCAAATATTGGTACAATGTAGTGGTAGTAGTTGTTGTCATATTTTGATCATGTCCGGGCATAGGCCCCTCATTAGGAGCAGCCCTGACAACAGGTGATCGCGGCCGGGGTGGGGATGCATACATGGCTGCCGCCTCTAAAATCTCACGCCTCGTGCGTTCTCTATTGCGACAAAAATTCTCGGCTCGTAGGGCAGTGATGTATAGGCCTGAAGTAAAAAACACTGTGACAAGCCCAAAAACCCCGGCAGCTATGAATAAACCTTGCGGGATGGTTAGACAAGAAGGGTGCGGCCTCGCCCAATTTTTTAGGTGGCCCGACTCCACGCTTATCCCGATTAATAGTAAAATTTCGGCCATCGCAAACGACACCCTACATTGTTCATCGAAATAAGTACATAATTGAGTAAGCCTTGCTCATAAATTTAAAGAACTTCTTTTATCATATGTGATCAAATTTTTACTATTCATAAAAAAAAAAAAAAAAAAATTCTAAAAAAATATCAAATCACATATCTATTTTTTATTTTTTATATTATACTAAAAATTAATTTTATATTCAAAATATCACATAAAATTAATTTTATATTTATATTGCAGTTAAAATTAAATATTTTTTACTATTCAAGTCTAACATAAAATTCAAACTCCAAACAATCCCACCGTAACACATTTGATGCATTTGTATGAAACTTATTGAAAGAAGTTTGTAAACCGTGCTTTATGTTCACTTTGCAATTTTATTATTTTTTTCCCCTATTCAATTATAATTCTTATAAAAAATATATATTTTTCTTACAATACATCACCAATAAAACTCTATTCAAATAAAAAATAAAAGTCAAAATATAATTAAAAAATAAATAAATATTTTGTTTTTTTGAAAAATCCATTTTTTAAAATAAAAATAAACTAATTTATTTAATAAAATATTAAAAAATATTGTTCTCTTCATTCGGAATCAATTTATCAACTTTAATATTTTGATCCGTCTAAAGTCAATCTATAGTTTCCTTTTTTGATTAATTATGATCCTTAATGATATTAAAAAAAAAAATAAAAAATTCTTACGTCTTACATTTGATTACAACAATGTCCGCAATAATTTATAAAACATTACAAGACATTATTAAAAGTAAAATTGTCTATTCATTTGTACTGTATACATAAATAATATAAATATTTAAATAATTACGTGTAAAAAATAAACGAATACATTTATGCTCAACGGGAGGAAGTAAAAGCTACTCCATTCAAACATCATAATCCAATTATTTTTACGATTTTCAATAACTTAACAACAAAAAAACTAATCATTTCTAAAATATTAAAAGATTGCTAGTTTTACTTTTGGTGTAATTTTTAGATGGTATAATTTTAACAAGTTCTTAAATATTTCGTTCTTATTCTTTCGGCTTATTTAAAAAATTATCTTTAAAATAGTAAAAGAGGAACAATTGTGTGAAAAAGAAAACTTTATTTTTTCTTACAAGGTTTTGGCTTATAAAGTTGTAGTTTTAATCAGTGGTAAAAACAAATAAATACAATGTGTATTGAAAATGTGGCAAAGTGTGTAATGTAAACTTTGATACCATGTTGCAATGAAGAAAAACCCGGCTTGCCAAGCGATAACCTTGGCAAAATCGGAGACGGGATCCCAAGAAATGTCGAGGAGGGCGTCGGATCTGCTGACCGCAAGCAGCAAGTACGTGTGTTGGACAACCATGGCCGATGCAAGCGCCAAGAACGCGGCAGTGCCCGTTATGAGAGGCAGCTTTCCATTAGCCGTGTAGACACATTCGGTTTGTGTTCCTTTTGCCTATACATATATACATACGGGCGTATGACATTGCCGCAACATTATTATGAGCATGGATTAGCTGTTGATCTGGTTAAGTCAGCATAGTACTGATTTGATGATATAGATAATCAAACATATCTATAATACAATATATATTATATTATGATTAAGCCTATGTTATATTATCACTCAGCTTATATTGTGTAAATAAATGCCAATTCTGTGTATGACATATCACTACAATAAATTATCAATTTTGTAAAAAACGAAGTTTTTTCGGTACTAAATTCATTTTTTCCGTTACTAATGATATTAGAGACGGAATTAGAGATGGAATTACGTTAGGTACGTAACGTAAACTTTAGTAACGAAATTCTATTACAAATATACTATTTTCTTGTAGTGTATACTGATTCGGTCAAATCAGCATCATGCTGACTTGGCCGAATCAACATAGGATCCACACAGCGAAGAACCGTTGTAAGAATTAATAATTAATGTTACATTTTGCAAAATTTTTGAGTTATGTTTTTATTAATAATGAAATAAGCGCCTATAAACATAGCTAAATAATAACTATCTAATCTAAATAAAAGAAATCTAATCCAAACTATAAATTAAATATCTAAAATATCTCAATAATTAAAAAATACAATCAGAGTGCACCTCGGATCGGGTGGCCTCAGCTATAAGGCAGAGAATGAAGCAAGCAAGGCCGAGTAAAATGGACAAAACCATGAGAAAAACGCCGGTTTTGCTGCCAAGATCGGTGCTTTTTGGGCTCGGCGCAAGGTCAGCGTGTGTCACCGCCATCGGATATTTGGATTTGGATTTGAATTTGGATTTGAAGTCGGAAGGGCATTAGAGAAATTGATGTTTAAAATTGTGAGACAAAGCAGATTTGGAAGTAAAAGTAGTTTCGAGTTTGAGAATTGCTTGGAAGAAAGGTTGCTTAAAGGCCAAATATTCTTGTTCCATATTCTTGTCCACTTTGTGGAAGTTTTGCACAAAACTTGGACTATATATTTGTTACGTACATATCATTTTTTTATTTTTTATTTTTTCATTTAAATATATTATTTGCAAAATTTTAAATGTATAATTGATTAATATTAGAAAATTAGTATGTGCAACTTTAACTAATCTGGAATAGATCGAAAGACATTTATGTTCCTCTTCTTCGACACTTTTCCCCCTATTTTATGGCTCTAATTTGTAGCTTTTATTACATTTTGAAATTTTGATTATTTGGCCAATCAAATTCAATTAAGATTTTAACTAATTACTATTCATCCAAATTTTTTTTCAAAATGTATATATATAGATTATTTTTTCTCATAAAATATTGTATCAAAATACTATTTAAACAAAATTCAAATAACTTATTTTAAATCAATTTCAAATTTCGAAAAAAAGGAAAAAATCCGAATTTGCTATGGATAATATACTCCATTCGTCCCACTTATTATGTCCACATTTTCATTTTTGTCCATCCCATTTATTTTGTCACTTTCCTTTTCTTAAAAAAGAATTATACATTTTAATCTTATAATTTTTTTTAATTAGACCAATTAGTTATCTTAATCTTAATATAATTATTTTTATTATGTGATAATTATTTTCACTAATACATTCTTAATTATTTAGTAATTATATCCCTAAAAAATTCTCGTGTCTACGGTAAAATAAAATGGACAAAATATCCGGGACGAAGGGAGTATATTTTTGTGAATATCTTTACAATAAAAAAAAAATCCCCCCTCTGCAGTTTTCATTTATATGAATTCAAGTGTTTTGGATTTTCCACTATTCATTCTATTTCTTTTCCAAAAATATCAAATCAAATACTTATTTTTTTATTTTTTATATTATATTAAAAATTAATTTTAAATTCAAAACATCGTATCAACACCTATTTATATCACATCATACAACTATTTAAATTCAAATTTTTTAATATTCAAATTCTAACTCAAAATCCAAACCTCTAAACAAACACACCCGAAAATAAACTCTAACGTACTAGTATTTAATTTATATTTGTAACCTAATATTTATAAATTTTCCACTATTATATTTACATTATCTACACATTCAATTACCAAACATTTCTTCACCGAACGTTAAATTACATTTGAGATATCAATTCGGACAATAAAAAATATTCAGTCTAAAAACCTAATCCGAATACAGCCCAAAAAAATCTGAATATGATCTTAACTTTTAGGCCCAAAATAATTTCAGACTGGGCTGGCACGGCCCAATTCAAAAACCGTGCCGAGTTCAGGCCTGTTAAAATTAAACTGTGCTGGCCGGCCCATTTTAATACAAGTCCATGACTCCTTGTTTTCATATCTCAATTTTTTATGGCTAAAGTTTAAAGGATTACCGAGGATTTATATTGTTCACACAAAATTTTCTTATATTATACTATAAATAAATTTATATTCAAAGATCATATCAATACATATTTATATCACTGTAACAGTACTAATTCAAAATTTTACTATTCAAATCTCAGTCCAAAATTCAAACTCCTCGACAAACACATCCTAAAATACAGGTTGATTTTTAATTTCATAATGCGATCGTATGAGTTTCTACCCAACTTCACAAATCAAATATTCTCAAAACAATCATGCAATATATTTCATAGTCGCACATCCAAACCTCCCCTATAGAATCTGTTGGTACGAGTGTAAACTCAATAACCGTCAGGTCATAAGATTAAACCTTCAATGTCTTTCGGACACATGATTTACCTAATGTGACACAAAAAATAGAGACTTTGCACCGACACATTTTACCTTCGAATCACAAATTAACATACTTTTAAAAAGCTAACAATGCAACATTAACAAGGACTTTGCGACGATATCTTTTGCCTTCCAATCACTCGTCAACACACTTTTGTGTCTTCTTGGACTACCTACGAATGACTATATATCCAACTAAAATAATGCAAACAATTTATTTAAAACATTATCAAGATTTTATTTTCTATACAAAACATTATATGTAACACTTATTTATATCATATCAAATACCCACAATTTTATTTAACTTTTTACTAGTCTCAAAATTCTTAAAAATTTAAAAACTTCCAAACTTTTCAAAATTCTCATCTAAAGAGAGCCTAGATGATTATAATATGTTAAAAATGTTCTTTTAAGGTTCATGGGCTCGATTTGAATATCCTTCTACAAAGATCATGACAATATCAAGGCACTTACGAAATCTATTTATTGATAAGTAGAAGAACAGTTGAGGGGGCAGAGCAAAGCTATGCATTGATCAGGACTTAGCATTTATATATCGGCAATAGCTACTCAACAATGAAAAGCATCTATTAATACAAGTGGGGCATGGAGTGTACTGACATTGCTATGGAGAAATGAAATATGGCGTAAACCGAGCTCAGAAATAATCGTCGGATTTTAGGGTCCATTTTCTTAATGCAGTACCCTGTAGAGAATAGACAGAAAGCAATTAGAAGAAGTATAAATTGCAAATTATATAAGAATAATGTAACAGAAACTGGATGAAGCATCACAGATAGGAATCCCCTTTCCCTCGACATTTTATTATTTATTTATTTTTCCCTCTCGGAGGAAGGGGTTATCAAATTATGTATTATATGCCTGCCTAAGTTGATGCAGAAGGAATGTAATAGAAAATCATAAAGAATACTGACAGAGAGAAAATAATACAAAATTTGTTTGCTGGAAAGAATGAATACATGTTTGGAAAAAAAACCAAAAGATAACTCATTGAATATATTGGAATGTATCCTGTAGTGGCTTCTTTCCATATCAAAAATGCCTTGAGCAATTGCAAAGTAAATGAAAAATGACCATTTCACAAACAGCCGACTAGTTATTGCTATATCCGAACAAAGTCGTGTACAGGTATGTCACATTTTGAGTAGTTTGTCAATTGTGTTCACAAAGTTACAGATTAACTTGAACCATAATAAAAGCACCACAATGAGCACGATCTGCCAGTACTCGATTTCTTGCCATCTTGCAGATAATTTTTGTGATATACTATGTTAAAACAACGTAAACATATCTAGTGAATCTCACTCCATTTAAGCACAGTAGTAAAAGGAAGTATCTGAGAAGTGATTTGACTAATGGACTGGAATAGTAACAGATGCGGGATTCCCGCATTATTATCAAAAAACAAAAATAAAAAGAATAATTTACTTAGCTCCATAAGAAGTTTTTGTTTTGTCATATGTGCACATAGATATTGTCAAAAAAGTTTCTCAATCATTGTTTTCAAAATTAATTGTTTCACAGGTCCATCTTTTTGTTTTACGCAACAAATAAAGTTTGTGTCCTTAAAGAACCATGGCGATACAGGAATGGTGGTAATTATATTAAGTTCGCAGTAGATCAAAGCATATCAGATATATTTCAATTAATACATTAATATCAGTGAAAAATAAAGAAAGTGTGAGACAGTGTCAAATCCAGATCATATTAACTTCGATCAATACCGCTGAGGTTACATCATGACATGCAATGGAACAATTGTATAGAGATGGAATAAATGTAGGAGAAATTGTCAGTTCATCTTCTGGGTTTCATCAATATTTTGGTCTAGACCACAAAATCCAAAGCAGACTAATCAGGAAAACGAAAAACTTAAAATAATACAAGGATGATCAAGTACACTTGGTTGTTTGCAGCTCCAGCATGATTAATTATGTTTTTAACTCGTAGTCTCATAATAAAACTTAAAAAGTCCCAACTTGTTCACTTTTAACAAATTTAATTCCCGACGGAGAGTGCATTAAAATCATTCTCTATAATGTGTTCCAAAAGAAAGCCAAGATGAGAACATAGAAGCTAAATAATCTTTAAGCTTATCTCTCAGTTACAGAATTTCACCGTAAAACTTTATCAAAGGAATTTGAGACCACAATAGAAACAACTTGGATCTTAAAAACTCTTTTTTCATGAAATACAAATGCAGAATAAATGGCACAAACATTATCAGGAAAAAGGAGAAAATTTATGTCTTAACAGTTACCCATAGATTCGAAAATATCCACTTTAACCACAAGATCGTATAATCTAAACCTAATCCCTCAATTTGAAAGCATGAACAGAAAAAAGAAGAGCAATATCACACCTTCTGTAGAAATCTGAAGTATAGCGGAATCCATTGTAGCAAATAAACCACATCAACACAAGCACCAACGTATCTAGTCGGGTTAAGGCTTTTCAAACCACATGCCACATTTCATGCTACGGCGACCATGCCTGATATTTGTTATATTGTGTAGCCCCAAGCTAAGCTTGAAGGAGTACTATACATCGAAGCCCTCGGACGTTGTTCAACCTATATATATATATATATATATATTTGTTGTACTCTCTTTGAAACTAACACCCAAAAATAATAGTAAAAATACATATATTGGAGCCGCCCCAAACCAAAACGTAGATCAATTTGATTGAATTGAGCACCATATTATTGTCTTTTTTTTTTTTTTTTTGTTTTTGGTGTGCGACAACCTTCAATCATAATTTGGTTAAATAACTCGAAGATGAAATGTTCAACTTTTCTAGTACCTACAGTTGAGATCTAACGAAAAATATAGCATAATCGTGTCATAATTCGAGGCATTATTCTGGAAAAGAAAATTGGTAGTAAATCGAATAAGAGTGTACACAAATAAAAAGGATACTGAAGAGAAGACGTTCCCACCAATCGAGCATATAGAGCCCAAAGGTAACGTTGTATAGATAAATTTTGCGCTGAATCCAATTCATCTCTTTCCTGGTTTCACTTTCACCTTCTGATCTATTATCCTGCAAACAATAATAAGAATTACGAATTCGAAACCTTACACATCGAACAGATTGAAACACGCGAGGAATCGAATAGACACTTGTTAATTCAGTGGAGAAGGTCGAAGAAAAAGGTGGGAGATGAAGAAAAATTAATTAGTCAAAGACTGTCGCGCAGAGGATTGAAGGTGAAGCGGCGTATTGGCCTCGGCACTCACAGCCGGTAAACGACCCACCTTCCGGCGAGAGTTTTTCGAAAAGCTTCCATCACCTCCGGATCTAGAAACGAACCATATCGGCGAACGACGACAGGCAGCGACAGGTATGGCTGTCGATAGGAGGAGAAGACAGAAGAGAGAAAATATAAAACAAACTCACCTGAAAGCCACCGAGAGCTGCAACAGCAGGGGATGAAGAAAAGGCAAGGGAAGCGAGGAAGGACTGATGAAGGAGAAGGGGAAGAAGGAAATGCGAGAAGAAGGGGCCGGGCCGGCTGTAGTATTTTAGTTTAGAGCAAAAGTAAAATAGAAAGTACTAAGATTCAAGTTCTATTTTTTTATTATTATTATTTTTTTATTTCTACTCACATTTAAAATAATATATCAAAATTATTTATTTAGAAATTTATTTATTATTTATTTATTCTACTGTTAAATAATAATTCGATTCAATATAGTTCATATATATAGTTAAAAAGTCAAATACAAATATATTTTCAATTACGGTCATATTTGATATTAACTATTGAACTATGTTTGAACTAAAGACTGTGATCACCTCAAATATTTGATTGATAGTGCAACAGGTTAATTTTTGGTCGTCGTTGCGGGTGGATTCACACTTTGTTTTACTTTTTTGTGTTCTAATGTAGTAAATAAATCGAGAGAATTTTCTTTTATTTTTTAACAAAGATAAAATAACAAAATAATTAAATTAACACAACTAACATTCCTGACTTAAGAGATGATACACACAGTTATGTTTTATCTTCCCTTCTTCCACAATTATTTCTTATATTCCATACTCAATTGGACATACCAAAGCGCTTTCTTCATTCAAATGTGTGTATCTATAGACACATATGTATGTGTTGAGGACTCCCGTTTGCGGGATATGTAACTAGTGGCTTAGTTTCCCCAACAAGTTCGAGCTTTTAGGTGAGACGGTCATTAGCATCCGACATGGTATCAGAGCCTAGGTTAGGTCTCGAGTTCGAGTCCTGCCCATCCCCATTTGTGGCATATGCATGAGGGGGCGTGTTGAGGGGACATATGAAGGTTATTTTGTACAGACCCATTTGCACCAATATATGGGAGTGTACTTAGTACAGGCTATAAGTATCACAAATATAAAATTATTTTGTTTTTTCTATGCTCCTAGTCCTCCCTCCCCATATTGTAAATATTTCCGTGTATTTCTTGCTTCTAAATCTAGTCTAACAGTATTTATCAATTTTTAGAATTTCGATTCTGAGCTTGAAAGCCAACAACCACAACAATATTTATCAGCAAAATTTTGGTGACAAATGATCATGACGGAAAGAGTTTAATCTTTCTTGTAGTGCAACTCATTATACTAGTAGACTATATATATTGCTTACGTCTTGGATCGATCATTGATTATGTTACTTGTATCATTTTTCATCTAACCCTTGGGGGACTTGTCATGCATTCAAATGAAAGGCCATGAAGGTCCGATCAAAAAACAAAAAAAAAAAAAAAAAATTAAATGCCATGGAGGAGATCATCTGCTTTTCATTTCATCCAATCCAAAAGATATTAAATCTTCATTATCAATATTATTATTGGGAACATATGAAGGTTATTCGATCTCGATTTCAGATGTAAGCTGCTGTTTCTTTGGCTCCACTTTGTACTCTTCACAGAGGCTTCCCTTGTATCCATCGGCTAAGCATTTCCAGTGAGGCTTTTGGTTGATCCATCGGGACCAAGTGACCGGCGCCGAAGACCTTCAAGAATGTGAGAGGTCCTTTGCCTTTAGTCAATCCACATTTCTTATTATCGACTATAAAATCAGTAGATGGCGCGGTTGAATATCCGGGCCATTTCAAGTCTTCTACCCATCTTGAATTTCCTAAAGAACATACAAATTGAAATTGTTAGCATCTATCTTTCGAATGCAACAAAAAACAGAAATGAAGATCAGTTATGGTAGAGTTGGGCTTAATGTACCTAGCCAATTGCAAATGAGATCGAATTCGCCGGCGTATAATAAAACCTTTACTCCATTTTGGAGCAATGGAGGAATGTAGACCGCGAAGTTTTTCAACTCGTCACCAGCCATCGCTGTTTGAACTGCGCTGCTGCAAGAAACATATTCGATGTTTTTAACACCTAAAGCATCCTTGACATTCTTTTGGTTGAGAAACTTTTCCACATTTGAGAAGTCGTAGCACAATGAGCCTTCGCATTTCTTGCGAATGTCGTAGTACTGTAACAGAAAATAAAATGTCGATAATGTTGGTTTGGTTACAAGTTAAGTTAAAAGACATGCAAACAATTAGTTGCATTACATTTATATCACCACCGGCGGCGTCCAAAATACTGCTGAAATATGAGTTGCAAGTGCTGTAAGCATCAGTACATGCTGATGAACTGTTCTTGCTTGCTATAAAAAGTTATGTAAAAAATGTGGAGATTAGCTAAAGGGGAAAATTTGTTTAAAGATGATGATATTAGGGTTTGGATTAATTTCATAGTTACCGCAAGCTTGGGCTGCTTGTTGACATTCCGAAGCTGAACTACTCAGGTCATTGTATTCAGACTTGTCGATAATTTTCGTGCTCAAGGCATAATCACGATCTGCTTTATATTGGATCACCGGATTTGTAAGGCCGTTTCCAATGGCGATCCCCTGTATTCAATAAATTGGTGAAAAAAAAAATATCGCATACAAGCGCTCCATAGGATTGAAGAACATGCAACAAGTTATATATTAAGTACTCCTACTTTATACAACATGCGCTTTCTGTTAGGGTGTGTTTGTTGGTGGGTTTGAATTTTTGGGTTTGAATTTTTGAATAGTAAAAAGTTGAATTTGAATAGTTGTTTGATGTGATATAAATAGAGATTGATGTAATATTTTGAATGTAAAAGAAATTTGTAGTATAATATTAAAAAGAAAAAAAAAATAATTGTTTGATGTAATATTTTTTAAGGAAAAAAAAGAATGTGAATAGTAAAAATCTGATAAAACCCACAAAAGAACGCAACCTTAAATTTTTATATGCTATTTATAATATATTCATGTGCGGATAAATCCTCAATCAACACCGTAAGTGAAGCCATATATAATATTAGTACCTTCAAGTTGATTTGAATCCCTTGTTTGAGTTTGTTTCTTTTTTGAACCTCATTGGCAAAAGCAGGAATGTAATGTCCGGCATACGACTCTCCGGTGATGAAGAAGTCATTCTTCGCATACTCGGGATGTTTTTTGAAGAAGGCCTGATATATATATATATATACATGTTAAGAACAAAACTTGAGAAGATTATTATTATTACAACTAACAATATTGAAAGAATAATTAGTTATACATGTATACAAAGCAAACCTCACCTGTAAAAAGTCATAGAAATCGACAGCGGCTTCCTCTGAGGTTGCTCGAATGTCGGATTCGGATGTAGAATAGCTGAAACCAGTTCCTGTTGGCTGGTCTATATATATAAGATTGGATTCCTGCAAGATCCATAAATGTCAATTAGGATTAGGTTTAATGATGCTGATTACACTAAAAAATGGATGTGAGAGTTAGATGCACTTCCTGTGATGTTCTAACTAACTTAGCACAGCATTGACAACATTCGAAATACAAATGGACAACCTATGAGTTATTATCCTTAATCAACATCCTAACTATTTCTGAGTTATTTCTATGTTGCACAAAGAATATGAAATAGGAATGATACCCGATATCGATGTAGAAATACTTACTTTATCCCAACCAAAATCATTCCATTTAAGAGACAAGTCATCTGTCAATTTAAATGGCCCATTCTCGTAGAACAAAGCTAGAGAGCCACTGCATCCTGGCCCTCCAGTTAACCACACCACAACTGGTGCATCTTTTCTGCTACTTCTTGATTCGAAGAAATAATAAAACATCCTGCATATATATATATACATCAACCACCACTCATCAAAACTCATGTATATAAACTAGGGTTTTGGATGAATAAAATCCTAATCAAATGATTTTATTTTAGTTCAAATAATACATAAAACACAGCTATTTTGTAAACAATAATAAAAGTAAAAGAAAGTGGAAAGATATAGGGTTTGTTTAGATACGGGTATTTTGGAGATTTTTGAAAATTTGAAATTTTGAAAAAAAAAAGTAAAAAATTAGTATTTAATTTAATATTTTTTTAAAAAAATATTTGATGCAATCTTTTTCTAAAAATGAATAGTGTCAAATATAAAAGGAGCCATGGTGAAATATAAACATTCATTATTACATAAATTCACAAGCACTGTAGAGACTCAAAATGATGCAATTCACTAATTTAAATGATCCAATCAAACCAATCTCAATGACATTTTTCTAATTTCTAATGATCTTTTTTTTTTTTTTTTTTAAATGTTTGCAATTTTTTTTTGTGAAATAAAAAATACCACTATCCAACTGGTACTGTTGCTGATAAAAATACCATTTTTTTTTCTTACAAAATATTAAATCAAAATATTATTAAACAAAAATTCAGATAAACTCATTATTTCCAATCAATTTCAAACAACAAAACAAACTTTATTATTTTGTTCTTTTTTTGGGGCTTCTTTCTAACTATATTTAATTGTTTCTCTTCGATTTCAATTTTCGCTTTCGTTATTAAATTACATCATATCTTGATCGACACATTTTCTCTTATTTGGCTATATCAATTCATACAATCGACATCACCAAACATAATAAAAACACTCATAGGCCAAAGATTTAACCTATTTTCATAGATACATAAAATCATTCCAATAAAAAAAAATTTCATAAGTTAGCATGTTTAATTACCTAGCAGCTTTTGTGTTTGGAAGACTGAAATATCCAGCATGATGACCAAAATCTTGAATACTTGGGGTTCCATTTGTAGCATCGGCATAAGTTCGATAATCACTCAATCCTGGAAATCGAAAACTCTTTTCCACCAGTTCGGGTGCAGCAAACAAAGGATCATTTTCGACGATATTTATGTCCCGAGTAGGAGAAAGATTAAACCCTTTTATTAACCTTTCCGATTTCACTTTTGAGGCTCTGAAAACCGAAGGAGATAACAAATCATTGTAGCCATGAACGGATGAACAGACCAAAGAAAGAAGCAGTAGAATTGTGCAATGGAAATTTGTTGAAATCATTTTTTTTTTCCAAGAAAATTGGTTATGGTGAAAATCTTATTGTGTTGAAGGAAAATGATTTTCACACTATATATTGGCAGTCAAAATATTTGGTAAGAATAGGAATTGCATTAAAATTAATTCAGTTTACTATTTTATATAATTAAGGATTGTATCAAACCAAATAATTAACAATATTCAATAGTAACCATATAATTAATTAGGAGGATACCTACCTACATTTATTGTATTCAATTATGATTATATTCCTTTTCTGATATTTAATATTCACTCGTTCATTCAAATCTATATTCATTTTTCTTTTTGGAAAAATATTCTCATTACATTTTTAAGTAAACAATTATTTCACTTTTGTACTATTTTTTTACTATAAAAGAAAAAATTAACAATTATTACACACTTTTATTAAAACTCGTGCCCGGTTAAACGAGCACACATTTACACGACGGATGGAGTTATCTATATGTATTGAAAAAATTAAACTCAATTTTATCCCCAGTACTGTAAATTATAGTTACTTGCTATATAACCAAGATTTAATTCCTTTTGTGCATTGTATATCCATAATTGTTTCTTTCCATTTCTGTTATGTGATTAGGAATATTTAAATTGCAGGTTCATGGCGATATTATTTGATTCTATATATTTTTTACTCTTATATTTTTAAATTTATATTTCCATTATACATGCATAAATGTTTGGAAAAATATTAATATGAATAAAATTAGAAAAATTAATATTAAGACTGGACCAACTTAATACTAATATGATATTGCCTCGTCTTTGATCAAATGCACCTGTCTTTGACCAAATGCACCCGTATTTATTTTTAGATTCTTTTAAAAGACCTTTTACTAGTATAGAATTTATATAATGCGATTTGAATTTGGACCCAACAATTAATTCAATTTATTGCAAATACCATTAATGAATTTTGGTAAATTTAACTGCACAATTAAAATTGAGGACTCCTAAATATTGTTTCCTTGTTTTTATTTTTTTTGGGATTAAATTGTTTTGTTGTATTTTGATTGTATGTATATATGTTTTAATTTAAAATTATTAAGCTGTGTAAATAATGATTGAATTTGATGGTCTATAAAAAAAAAAATAGTAAATTATAAGTTGTATAGTAATAAAAATTAAAATTTAAACGAACCTAAAAACAACCTAAATCTTTTGTGCCTCTATTTAGTTGTGGTATAAGGTGTAATTTACTATATAAGGTATAAGTTTTTAAATATAATTTATTCATAGTAAATTATACCTTAATTTATATGTGGCGTTTTTACGTTTGTAGTAATTTATACCTTAAATTACACTATAGATTTATTTGTTGGATATTATTTATTTGTTTAATTAATATTTATTTATGAGATAATATATACAGTTAAAATAAAATTAAAATAAATATTTAAGTGTCTAAAATTATATTGACGTAGGCTACAACCTATTCCTCAAGCTAGTAAATGTCTCAATATTTGATCTATAAGTGTTTGACAAAGTGAGTCTCAACTAAAGAAATGATTAATTTTTTTTTTTTTGAAAGAATGGAAAATCAGCCAAACAAGCCCTTGTGTATTAGATTTTGTAAAATTTTTATTATTAATTATTAGAAAATATAAAAATATTTTGATTGTGATATTATTTAGGTGAAATAATAATAATAATTATTTTTTTATCATGAAATATGGATATATATATATATATTTATAAGAAATGATTTAAAAGATAAAAGAACAAAACAAGTTGAGATTTAACATAATTTATGGGAATAACAGAGTGATTTGTTGTATTTAATTTATTTGGTTTCATACTTATATTTTGATATTTTTTTAAAATAGGTGTTGAATATGATATTTTGAATATATATATATATATTATAGATATGTTACAATTTTTGAAAAAAAAATAAAATTCAATAGTAAAAAGTGAAAAAAAAAAAAAAAACAAAACAAAAGAACAAATCTAAATTTGTGCTACAGTATATTTTGGTCTTTTAAAAGTGCTAAAAATTTAAATTAAGATGACTATTAAATTGATATATATTTGGTGTAATTTTTGGTGTAAAAAATAAATTATAGATATACAATATATGTCTTCTGTTCCGGAATATATACGTTTGGTTAGTGATACTATATTCAAGGTAATGAAATTTATTAAGTTAATAATATTATTTTATTATTTTTATGTGAATAATCTAGTTGATATTTTTTAAAATAAGAATTAATATTAATATGCTGTTGGAAAATAGGTGTTGCACTCAAATTTCTTCGAACATCTAAAATAGGATTAACTCTCGAAGCATAGTTATATCACAAATATAACAATCTGCCAACAGTACGAATGCAGAAATAAAAAGCAGTAAATGAAGTTTGTTAACCCGATTCGATTTAAATCAACTACATCTGGGGTTACCAATCATGAAAAATTCAACTAATTATAGAATATAAACAAACCACACCTCCTTCAACTCATACTTCTACAATGATTACCTTGGAATACTCCTCCACGGGCTTATGCTGTCACAAGCTCGTACTGACAACTACTACATAGTAGGGCTACTCAGAATCTGGACATTTCTCCTAATTGGAACTACAATAACTTCTTCCTCCGACGAACTATCTAACGGATTAAAGTGTCAAACACTTAGAACATGATGAAAAGAAAGGGCATGGTTGAGAGCATTGAACATACTTTCTCACTCTAAACACAACTCTCAAAACCCTATTTACAACAAAATTAAACACTTCAGGGTTTACAAGACAATAGCCATGGTGAGCATGCAAAACAAACACATTAATTTTTGTTTTGCATATAACTGATATAGTGTGTTACTGCATAATTCTGATGCCAAGTTGACCATGTAAGAGCATCCGCAACAGCGCATCTCCTCGAAGAAGGAGATGCGCCACATCATAATTTTTTAAAAAATAAAAATAAAAATTAATAGAACCGTGCTTCCCAACATTTCTGCAGATGCTGAGAAGATGTGATTCCATTGTCACGTGTCCCAATTTAGGTATATATATATAATATAAATTATATATGTTTTGTTTTTGTAATTTATTGTTATATTATAATTTTGTAGTATTTTTTATAATTCATAATATTTTATATTCTACAAAATGATACCAATATTTAATATATTTTATCAATTTAAAATTTAAAATATATAAATACAAATATTATATAATTCTATTGAACAAATCAATATTAATAAATTTAATGTAATTTATTAAATAAAATCTAATTATAAATTTTAAAGCAATTAAATAATATAAAATTATATTAAACAATAAATATATTTAGTTTATAATTAATTATACATAAATAATTAATAATAAGATATTAATATATAATATAATATAATATAATATAATAATTAATACTAAAAATTAAAACTATAATTAAAAAAATAATATATATATATAATATGAAAATAAAAATTTATTAAAAAATTAGGATGAGTATCTTTGTTGTGAATATAAAATAGAAGAGAGTATCTCCGCTGACGTGGTAGAGAGAAAAAGTGACGTGAATAACAAAGAGTAATAGAGATACCCAATTACAGATGGTCTAACTCATTCTTTTTCTCTTGTACATCCACCAAACCGAGAAGGAACAAAACAATTCAAAGTTGCTGACCGATTGTTGCAGCAACTTAATGGGTCAACATTGTTGCAATTGGTATATGAAGACAACATCAACAATGAGAGAGGTTTGACCATATGTCAAAACAAGTAATATGATATTTTTCTATTTAACATATGTGTTTAAATATATTAAACACTATTTCAATATAATATGCATGAATATTATTTTGTAGAAAATAAATTTTTATGTAACACAAATAAATAAATAATATTGTTTTGACATAATCAAAAAAATAAAGTCTGACAACACTCAAATACATTCTTAAAAACCAATTAAAATAAAGTACTCGTAAAATAAAAATCAAATCAAATGAGATAGATATCTTGAATCCAAGAAATGAACAAGAGATCAAATTCAAGGATCCGATCATTGATTTCAAATAATATTGTTGATTAATTACATTAGACACAATCAAACATTCAATTTTTATTTACTTTGTTGTGCTAATGGTACCAACAATTAACTATATCCCTAATCAAAGAATAAATTAGCTACAACCATAAATAATTTCTTCAATTGAAATTATTACGAGAAATACCAAATTCGAATACCCAATCAATTGCAAAATAATAATTATAATAATAAAGAAATTATATATGATCATGCAATTTTTAGGTGATATTCGTCAACCAAGTTATCACTTCATCAAATAAGTACACAATTTCACATGCAAATATTCGATTGATACATAATTCTTATAATAATCTAGAATCCGACAGTGATAAAGAATCGATAAAAAATAATTGTGTGCATTATATACTAAAATTGCACAAATATCAATCAACCAAAGAAATTCATATCATATCAAAATATGCATCAACAATCTATATCCAGGGTCTAAATTCAATCTCAAACTAGAATAGAATAATTTAAATACTTACTATAAAAATAAACGAAATCTAAGATTTTCGATGGAATGATAATGACGATCTTTTGTTGATTTCTTCTCATCTCCAATTGTGTCCACGAATCCTCCAAGTAAGAAAATGGATAATGATTCAATCATAGATTCTTCTTTAATACCATGATTTCTCTTTAAATAATTGAAAAGAAAAAATCAAATCTTAGTTGCGATATATGTTCATTTTAATTCATAATATTGCCCTTGACGTTTATCCATAACAACGTTTTAACATTAACTTGTGAATTCGATCCCTAATTGTGAGACATTTTATTAAATTCTTCATTTTCCTTCATTTCTAACATGAAATAAATTTCAACCACAAGTAGATATCACAACAAATTATGATACATAAGCACAATCAATATACAAAAATATGCAAGAACTTATAATTCATCATTTGTCTAAACATATCTAGATTGTATAAGTTTTTTGAAAGATGTTTGTACCATAATGGAGTTGTATTTCTCGAAAGTTGTGATTATAACAATACTCATTTTATCCGTCAAATTTATTTTTATTTTTTTTTAATTTGTCCATTGAATTTATTATATTACTAATTTTGGCAAAATTAACCTCAATTTAACACTTATTTACTCTATATGTCACTATTTTTTTTTTTGTAAACCAAAAAAAAAAAAAAAAAAAAGGGCAAGATTTCAGTAAACTTGATGAAAAGGAAACTACATAGCTACTGTCCTCATTCAGTTGGATAGAAGCCATTCAACGCTATATATAATAGCAAAATAAGTATATCATTTTATAAAGAAATAAAATTTTGTTGAGTGTTGGATATTTGTTATCTAGAAGAATATATTTTGTGAAGTTTATCAAGAAGATCCAAAAATGTATTTTATCCTAAAGTCTTTTTTATTTAAATAGAGTAAATTTTGATTTTGTAAATAAAAAAACCCTCTCTTTGTCCATTATATCGATCTTTTTATAATATATATCTATATATAAATTTCTATTTAATATATAAAAATATATTTTTTGAATTTTTCTGTAAATATTAAAAATATTCAAAACCCCCGATTACAACTTATAAATTTTCTTTTTTTAATAATAATAATAAATAGATAAATAAATAAATACTCATGAAAGTCTTGTGCTGATTGAGGTAAATTTTAACAACAATTTATTTATTTCATTTTTATTTTTTATTTTATTTTATTTTTTTGCTAAATCGCACAAAATTCACATTTGGTTTCTAAAATTGCAAAATCCCTCATACTTTCAAAACCGTGCCAAGCGTCAAACTCTCTCGTGATTTTATAAATTTTACGTCTAACCCCTCGGCCATTCTTATTTAACGGTGTTTGACATGCGCGCTCAAAATACGAATATGTTTTAGAATATTCATTTCTAAATCTTTGTATTTACAAATATACTTATTATTCTTATTATATAACCTCAAGAAACAGTAAATATACTCATAAATAATTAGTTTTTCACTCGTTTTAGAAGTTTTTTTAAATGTTATTTGAGGCTAAATATAAAAAAAAAATAATATATTTATAATTTTAGAAGTTTAGAAATTAATATTTTAAAATTTATTTTCAACGCGTGACACAGAATTTATGAAATCACATATAAGTTTGGTACATACGGGAAGTTCACCTAATTTTGTAAAATCACATATAAATTTGATCCAATTTAGGTTTTTTTTTTATTATTTAATTTAATAGGTAGGTGGACTCAGACTGCAATGCTAACATATTTAGGTATAGGGCTTGGCCTTTTCCCACCCTATTAAACAGTTTCTCTGGTCATATCTCTCCTTGAACAAAACATTGGCCCTCTTTCTTGAAAAGATTTCTTCTACTTAGGCCTGAAAACTAGTTTCCTGGTCGATTTATTGTTTTCTTTAACAATAATAGTTATTTTCTACAATTTTATCTATTTTTTTACATTTCAACATTGTTATCCTTATTTTTCCAACATTAGACTCATCACCAAGTTGAAAAGTAATTGCTCGAAGAAGAACAATAACGAGCTAAATGGTGTGAGATCAGCAAAGATATCCATGATTTTATGGTAATTTTATTCCCAATAGTATTTTTCACAATACTTTTCCAGAGTGTACATATGCATTATTATTCTTATTCTTATTATTATTATTATGAACCCAAAAGGTCAAATAATCACCATGTAATGGTGGTTTGCTTGGCTCCATTTGGTAGTGTTCATAAAGGCTTGTTTTGCATCCATCTCCTCATCATTTCCAGCGACGCTTTTGGTTGATCCATCGGGACTATGTGACCGGCATTGAAGACCTTCAAGAATGTGAGAGGTCCTTTACCTTTCACCGAACCACATTTCTTATTATCCACCTTGAAATCAGAAAATCGAGCCGATGAATAACCAGGCCATTTTAGTTCCTCGACCCATTTCGAAATTCCTGAGGAACAAATGTATGCACAATCCAAATTAGCTTCCATCTACATCTCATCCACATATATATATATATATTTATAGTTGTGGATCCGGTGCTGACTCAATCAAATCAACATGGTGCTGATTTGATTAAATCAACATATCACATAAAGGTAATCAACATATATTATATATAATCATAGCATATTTATGACACAACATATGTTATGTTATAACTCTAACATATGATATCTTATAACACAGTATATGCTATATTATGTAAAAAATATATGTTGTATATCATTATGCGATATGCTGACTCGAGATTGGATCAATACATAATCCACGCCCATATATGTATATATATATAGTTCCATTAGCATATACTATGTTATACAAAAATATATGTTATATATCATTATGTGATATGCTGACTCGATTTGATTGGATCAGCACATGATCCACGGCCATATATATATATATATATATATATATATATATATGGTAGTGATCAAGTGAACTTACCCAGCCAACTGCAAACAAGATCGAATTCGCCAGCATATACCAAAACCCTCACTCCACTCTCCAATAATGGTGTAATATAAACCGCGAAGTTTCTCATCTTATCGTAATCCATCGCCCTCAAAACTCTATCGCTGCATAAAACAAACGGTCTTCCTGGAACACCCAAAGCCTCCTTCACTGGCTTTTGATCGAGAAACTTATTCAATTTCGAATAGTCGTAATTGTTGGAACCTACAGCTTTTTTACGAATGTCGTAGGACTAAAACCGAAAGAGGTGAATAAGGTTAGTTCCTTACAAATGTGAACATTCTAAACTAAATAAATCACGTTGCATAAACTGCTTACATTCATATTGTTGGGTGCATATTTAATAATATTGTTGAGAAGAGTATTGCAAGTGACGAAGGCTTTGTAACAAGCCGTTGGATCGGTTCTTTCTGCAATGAAAAAGATGCAACAAAATGTAATAAATCGATCAAATCAAAGTGAATTCACTAAATTGAGTATATATTAGGAAATTACCACAATCTTTTGCTTCGTTCTGACATTTAGAAGCTGAACTACGCAGCCTCATGTATCGATACAAGGAGATTATATTTGTTTTTAAAGCATAATCAAGATTTTCTTTATGCTGGATCGATGGATTTGTCATGCCGTTTCCAATGGCTACTCCCTATATTAAATAATGTTATACATATTGAGAAAGGGATAGATGAAAAAATTAATTTTGAAACCCATATTAACAAATACATGTACAACACAATCGAAACACAATTTGCATTTAAAATATTTATTTTTAACTAATTATTTTTTACTTTTCTTCCTTTTTTTACTTATATATATATATATATTGTAATTACTCATTAAAATCTTTATACATATTCAAAATATTACATCCAATAAGATTGGTGAAACAAGGATCACATAATTAAGACCATGTATTTTTTCAATTCTGACAATATTTTAAAGTAATAAAAATAAGAAAAACTACAACAACAATAATGTGTATATACTTATACCCTACAACATAAAAAATTTCAAATTACTTATAATTGACGCATGGTTTGAAAAATCGATATCATATTATCCCTTGATTTAAAAATTGTACAAAACCCATTTGTATTTTAAAAAATATTATACATAATTTCTTGTAAATTCCATGAAACTCTTTTGAATTTTTCAAAATATTGCATAAAATTTCCTAAACAAGAGATTTTCTGTAATATTTCGAAAATACAAAGAGTCATAAAATTTTTAATCATAATAAAGAATGGTACAAATTTTTGAAATCACAAGTAAATTATAAGTAATTTTGTCATTAAAAGAGCGAAGAATATAGCATTGTCATACCTTCAAGTTTATTTTAATCCCTTGTTTCATTTGATTTCTTCGTTGGATCACAGTGGCAAAAGCAGGAATGTAATGGCCAGCATATGATTCTCCAGCGATGAAGAAGTCATTCTTGGCATACTCAGGATACTTTTTAAAAAACTCCTGATATGTATGTTTTCAAGTTATGGACAAAACATATGGTGATTGTTCATAAATTATACTGAAAAAGTTGACATCTAAATGGAAAAGACCTGTAAGAACTCATAGAAATCAACAGCAGCTTCCTCTGAGTAGGTCCGAATGTTGTCCTTCGTTGAATAACTGAAACCAGTTCCTATTGGCTGGTCCACATATATGATGTTCGACTCCTACAAGTTGCATAAATGTTAGAATTAGGTTTTACTAATGCTAAACTCAAAGGCCATTTTTATATGGCTTATTCGAATGCTTATATGTTTAGTACAAAAAAACTGTATATTTGTAACGGAATTGTGTTTCTATGGTTCACGTGGCTAATGTAATTTCATCTATGTCTCTAATGTTATTGGTAACGGAAAAAATAAATTTAGAGACAAAAAAATCTCGTTACAAAAATGATACTTTTTTTGTAATGGTTGTATAAATAATATCAAAGAGGAATGGGGAGATGGAGTACTTTATCCCAACCAAAATCATTCCATTTTAGTGACAAATCGTCTGCCAAGTGAAATGGTCCATTGATATAGAACAAAGATAGGGCACCACTGCATCCCGGTCCTCCGGTTAACCACACGACCACTGGGGCATTTTTGTTGTTGTTTCTTGATTCAAAGAAATAGTAAAACATCCTGCAGGAACCACCATTCATCAATGCCCATATATATCATGTATTAAAATGCAAAGTCTAAATAATAGAAACTTAGGGTTTGGAGACAAATTTTTGTTTGAGTTTGGTATTAAAATAATGTATGATGGGATGCTCTGTGAAAAAAGTTTTTTCGAAGAAACGCAGAGTTTAAATATTAAAAACATAGGGTTTGGAGACAAAAGAAACAAATCCCTAATGAGTTGAAGCTAGGGTTTTACGAAACCCTAATCCAATCAATTCATGTCATGTAGATCAAATGCATAAATTTAGTTAAATATGAAAATACAAGGTCGATAACATTCTTCTGCATTGTAGATACTTAAATTACAAACCCCTAATGACAAAGTGGGATTAATTTAGGGTGTGTTTGTTTGAGGGTTTGGATTTTGGGTTGGGATTTGAATAGTAAAAATTTTGAATTTGAATAGTTGTACGATGTGATATAAATAAGAATTGATGTGATGTTTTGAATGTAAAATTGATTTTTAGTATAATATAAAAAATGAAAAATAAATGTTTGATTTGATATTTTTGGAGGGAAAATTTTGTGGGAATAGTAGAAATCCCACAAAATCCCCCAAACAAACACACCCTTAGTTTTAAAGGTATCAACTCTTTTCTACTACATCTTCTTCTTCTGCTACTCATTATTATTATTTAGACAAGAAATGAGATATAATTTAAATGAAGTTAATTTATGAGTTTGTTTTCTGCCACAAAGATATCATATAGTGGTTAGACATTTTTTTTTATTACAAAGACGTTGCACTTGGTTCATTTTTTTCAAATGAAATTCATATTATATTGTTTCCTTTTAGGTGATTGGTGGAGTCATTTGAACTAAAGTGATTTCAAATAATTATCTTAAATCCATTTGTTTAGGTTCACAATATATTGAATTTTATATATACCAATCAATACCAAATTTTAAATTATTCATTCCTAACATTTGAAATGATCTTTCATATTAAGTTGTTTCAAATACTTCATAATACCAAGCAACATATTTAAAATTCCAAATAATTGAAATTTATTAATAATAAACCTTAAATCCAAATCCATCAAAACCAAACTAGGCCTCAGATTTCCTACACAACTTTTTGGATCCAACTTTATCTATTTAAATCATGTTTTGTAGTAGATCCTATATAAAAAAATCTAAATGAAATACCTCGAAAACTTGAAAGGTTTTCGATGGTAGGTGCAGGTTGCAAGTTGGGTATTACGAATTACTTTTAACAAGGAGACTGAAGTGTTGGCTAAATCACAAATATTGCCAATTAAAAAACTAGAATAGCATACAGTTATGTAAATGTTTACCTGGCCCCTTTCGTGTGCAAAAGACTGAAATAGCCAGCATGATGCCCAAACTCTTCAATACTTATTTTTCGACGACTTGCAATATCGGTTCGATTATCAATAAGTTTTTGAAATCGAATAGTCTTCTCCACCAGTTTGGGTGCAGATGGATCATTTCCTACGACATTAATGTTGTCTAGTTCAGCTGGACATTGGTTTAAACCCTTGAACAGCCTTTCTGATTCCTTTTTCGAGGTGCTCAAAATCGAAGAAGATGAAAAATTATTGTTGGTCTCAGCATATGATGAGACAAGGGAAAGAAGCAGAAGAATTATGCAATGGAAATATGTTGAAATCATTCTGCCAGATGATTTATCTTTGTGAAGAATAGATTTTGATTTATGTTATTTTGATGAAGGAAAACAATTTTGAAACTCATGTTTATATAAGACAAAGTATTTGGTTTTAAGGTTAGTTCTATTAACTCTTTCATCTTATCCATTTCAGATTGCTTAACTATGTCGATATTAGTGTATTTAATTAAGTTGTACAAAAGACTTATTAATCTTATTTAAGGACAAACATATTGATTAGGGTGGATTCTTATAGACGTGGTACTCAAATATATTTGTATTCCTTCTTTTTTATCCTTTAGTTATTTATACCAAAATTAATAAATTCAAACAATGACAATGACTAATATTTCATTCCTTTTACTAACAAATCTACAATGTAAATTAATATTTCTTTCCCATTTCAGTTTTGGGATAGCTTGGAAAATGAAATAATTGGAGGATTGATGCCTTATTCTTGAATAATTGAATCTTCAATAATTTATGGAGTAAATCTATGAAAATGAAAGCATTTACATTAATTGAATTAAATTTACTTGAATTGAAATATATTGGAATATAACTATAAAGTAGAGTGAAAGGAAAAAGAATATTGACATAAGAACTTTTCATATAAATATTATGGAAAGAAATAAACAATAATGGTGGACATGGATCAGGTGCTGATTCGATCAAGTCACTATTGTGCTAATTTGTCCTGATCAGCATTGTGGAGGTGACCAACATATATTTATAAATATTTCAGCATATTTATATTACAATATATATTATATTATATTATAACTAACATATACTATTTTATAATGATATATGATGTGATATGTATAAACACATGCCTAATCACTTTATGATATATACTAAACCAGTCAAATCAACACCTGCTGACTTGACCGGATCATCACAAAATCTATAGCTAATAATGATATTTTGCTACTTGCTACAAAATATTGATTGCGATTACAATAGAATAGTAAACTTAACTATATCAGAAATGTAAATATGGAGCAATAAGATTCCAATCTACATAAATGAAATGTGTTGGAGTGTGCGTTGTTGATTTTTACAAATGACTGACATCGACTCCTTTTTTTATAGCCGCCGGTAGAGCTTGTAGAAGATTGGGGGTTATTGACACTAGCATCCATCCGGCAGTTAAATTGCAAACATCCATTCATAAGGAGGGTAATTCTGATTTTGCAGCCTTAGGAGGGTAATTCAAGCTAAACTTTGACTAATTTTTTCATTGCAATTGTCGACTCTTAGCTGACTTCCCAAGTCATGAACACCTGACCTTGCAAAACCTTCACGAGTCGCGAATATGACTTTCGCCTTTTCTTCTTAGCTTTCGAAAGGGGCATTTTTGTCCAATTGACAACTGAAAATACTAAAAATTACCCAAACATATATATCAGATCAGAGCAAATGAGTAATAACATATAATTCCTAGGCATATTAGAAATTTTTAGAGCTGCCTCTAAGTGCCGTCTATTGCAAGAAAATTGTAGGGAGCTTGAGGTACCTAACATGTACTAGACCCGACATCTCTTATGTTGTTGGCCTAGTTAGATATATGGAGTCGCCAAGAGAATTTTATTTTCAAGTTTTGAAGAGAATTATGCAGTATGTGAAGGGAATAGACTATTTTATCTAAGAATGTGTAAATGTGAGCTTATTGGTTATTCGGACAGTGATTGAAATGGAGATTTGGACAATTGTAAGAGCACAAGTGGTTATTATTTTATTTTTTTTCAGCGACACGGTTTGTTCATGGTCTTTGAAAAAGCAACCATTATGGCGATTTTGACTTGTGAAACTGAGTATGTTGCAGGTACTTCAGGTAGATGCCAAGCTTTATGGTTAAAGTCATCGTTAAATTTTATAGGTTTTCCAATGAAATGTTCAATAAGGATATTCATTGACAAAACTTCTGTAATAAAGTTGGCAAAAGACCCTGTCACATATAGAAGAAGAAAACATATTGATATCTGTTACCATTTCATTAGAGATCACGTTGATAAGAAAATAATTCGATTGGAGTACTGCAGATCCGAGGATCAAGTAGCCGGTGTATTTACCAAAATGCTGAAGCTTAAAACCTTTATTAAGTTGAGAGATGCTTCAAGTTACCCCTCTTCAACATTAGAATTAAGGGGAGTATGTTGGTATGTTAATTCTAATTTTGAATTACCCTTAATAGGCATGCGTTAATTTTGAATAAGCTGTTGAATATTGTCCCACATTGCTAAATACGTGAGAACTCTCCTATTATATAAGAGTAAAGGCTGAAGGCCACCAATTAGTTTTAGGTTGGATGCCCGAATTCCTTCACTTTCTAAATTTACGAGTGTTTTAAATTTTAAATTAAGGAGAATAAATTAAGTTGTTATATGCTTGATTATAATAGAAATTTGAAAAAATAAAATTATCTTCATTCTCTCCATAGAAATGGCAAATATTTTTCTACATGAACTAATAATAATACAATTGTATATTTAAGGATGTTATTGGTTGGGGGGGGGGTTCTTATTATTTCAATAAAAAATTCTAAAAATATTAATTCAAATATTTATTTTTTATTTATTATAACATTAAATTTAATTTTAAATTTAAAATATCATATTAATATATATATATTTATATAAGAGACAACTATGATCGAATTAAATTTGTTTTAACATCAAATACATAAAATACAATCTTGGCTAATTCACTTGTGCATTATTATTTTTTTTATTACTGTTATATATTATTTTATTTTTTAAAACAATTTCTATCAAAGTGCGAAGAATCATCACAATTTATATTACAGATAACTACTTTTATTATTAGTAGATAATTCGATCATAACCAACTATATAAAAAAATATCCAAAAAAAAATTAAAATTTGAAATTGACGGAAAATATTTGCAACTTTTCAACCTAGTCAAATCGAACTATAATTGTATATATAATTAATTGTGTCAAAATATTAATATAATATTAAAAATATTTAATTTATCTAATATAACTATTAATATAATTTTTAAATAAAATAATATAAATAAACTAAATTTTTTTAGCTAACTAAAAAATATTAAAAAATAAAAGTGAACTGAATCTAACTAAACACATATCTATAGGGTGTTTATATTTGAACATGATTTCCTCGGCTAACCTAAAATACGGTTTGATAGTTCTAGCGGGCTCAAATATTTTATCTACCCTTGTTCTAGCTAGATTATAAATCTAGGCATGTCGATTGTTAGAAATTTTGAGGAAAAATAACGAAATTGTCTTATTGATTATCAAAATAAGAGCTTATACATACACAATACGTTAAACTCAAATCTAAGTAATCTAATCTATAAATAAGATCAAATTTAAAAATAAATCTACTAAATCTAAAATTGAATATATAAAATATCTCAACAGCGACTAATTAATGTATTTCTAGATATAGCGGTTTAATCAATTATGTTAGTACTTTGAAAGCAAACCATTTTGCATTATATGCTTTCCTTCGAAATATATGTTTTGCACAAATTGGATTATGTTTGAGCATATGCAAACATCATGAAAGACACAAGATATTAATTAAAAATGTAAAATAAAAAGTGATCAAACACATAAATGGATTCACAATTTTATCAGATTTTTGTTGCAAATGCCAAAAGAAATGAACCTATCGATCACCTATACTTGTTTCCGAGCTTTCGATTCCTTTCATCAATTGCTTCCATTTGGTGATCTCAGATTCCATTTATCTAAACGTTCTGAAGCTTTTGAGACCTGTGTCAAATATAGATAAACATTAATCAACATGTTTAGATATATATATGGATTGCATTGCAGTGACTGATGTGTAATTAACTGTACATTCAGACCTCATTCTCCCAATTTGTCCTCCAAATCAAGAAGCTAAGTAAACTTGTCTGACATCCAACTCCCACCAGAAGTCCACCCCAGATGCCCTGCTCATATATATACCATCTCAACTTCAATAAATACTTGAAAATCAAAGCAAAACTACGATTGCAATCCAAAATTCGGTAAAAGTTCATATGAACTAAATTAGACTTTTCAATAGGGATAGTGAAGTAGGATTATCTTTGGTATATAATTTAGTCGTAAATGAAAGCCTTGAGCTGATGAAAATTATGTGTTGAATGTGAATGTTCTCATCATTTTCTTTACCTTATTGGTAAGTGATTTTATCATCTCGCTAAGCAACCGTCTACTTAAAATTATCTTAATTAGTTGTTTTTATCTTTCTTGTATGCTTATTTCAATTCTACTCTACTTTGACAATAATAGTTGTGAAAACTGAAAATTTTCATTATATTTATCATCAAAATAAGAGCTTATATGTATATGAGTCGTGAAACAAATTCGATAGACTCTAATCAAAACAACTCTACCTATGGATAAAATTAAATAGTAATCTAAACTTACCAAATTTAAAATAAACTAATCTAAACAAATATTAAATTAAATCTAAATCTAAATCTAAAATATCTCAACAAGATTAAACTCAAGACACGGAGGAATACATTGTAGCATTCTCGAGCTAAAGGAGCATCTTTAATGTCTACATATACCTAAAGGCCCATCTATTCAAGCACATCTCGATGAGTTTAATGATGTTACATAGAAATAAAAATAGAAAAAATAGAAATGTTTATTTATCTTTTTTTTTATCAAAAAAATCAAACTTGGAAAATAGATCAATTTTCAATCTCTATTTTTATTTTTCTATTATATGCATAAAAATAGAGAAAAAATGATACAATACGTTTATTTGTTGATTTATGTATACTATTTAATTTTTATAATTTTTTTAGAATTGAAAATTTCCAATTTTACAAAAATATGGAATTTAATTTATTATTTAAATATTTAATTTTTTTGTATGTTTTCTAAGGTTCTACACAAATGACATGTTGGACATCTTGATGCAAAAAAGCCAAAAACACTTATGAATCCTGAAGGCTAATTAACATCCACGTGCCAACTCAATAGGGAATGGCTCCTCCTTCTGGCTACCATTTAAGCCATCTTGATAGATCATAAAAAACTTAGGCTTAGGCCAAGTGTAACGTGCCCGGGAGCTGATAGGTCCGGCACACCGTATAAAACAAGGAGTTTGCATAGACAGGACGGACTATAGCCGAGAATTTGGGACATAAATGTCAATCCTTGATATTAGGTCTCCTAGTAGTCCTTATGGTGTGTCTTAGATAATGATATCAGATCTAGATATAAAAAAAATATATATATCGAAAATAAACTATATTGTACGTACTATTTGAAAAAATATCAAAACTATAGTATTTTTTATATACCAAAATTTTCGATATGATACCATAAATTTTAAGTTTTGTAAAAATATGAAATTTTGTATATATATTGTTCACGGCATATTGTTACCATACCAAAATTTAGTATATATTAGTATTACATATACCGGAATACCAAATAAAAAAATAATTAAACATTAGAATTAAATAAAAAATATTAATATATTTTTATTTTTATGATAATTTTTTATATCTTTAGTTGTTTTTGGTACATATTTCAATACTTTTGGTATACTGGCCATTTTGCTTTATATTAATAATTTTTTATACGGGGTATACCGGTATACTAAAAAGTCGATGCAATATCAGTATAAAAATTTTTATACTATAACTTTTTGTATATCGATATGACATTTTTCATATTACTAGCGTAAAATTTCAGTATACCATACCAAACCAAACCATACCACTTCCATCCACGTGTGGACATGTCTCTACCAATAATACGTTAAACAATGCAGCTCAAAACGTAATTAAATGCAGTTGGTGTGAGTGAAGTGAAGGTGATGACCAATCTGCAGGTTGTGACTGGAAGCTTATCTTCAACTTATCATCGACATCTCACCAACCACATTTTATTGACATATAAATCTTAACCCCTGATTTTAAAGTCCTTGGACCTACATATTGGGTTGGAGATTATGTATTCTTGGGTTTTACTACAAATTTTTATTACCGATTTTTTTTTTTCAAAAATATCAAATCAAACAATTATATTTCTATTTTTTTTATTATACTATAAATCTATTTTACATTCAAAATATCACATCAATCTTTATTTATATCAAATCAAACAATTATTCAATTTCAACTTTTTACTATTCACTTATCTAAGGATTTTTGGTCAGCAGACTATATCTACTACTCCCTCCCTCTCAAACACCCTGTAACATTTCCTGGTATGTCCCAAACACCATGTAACATTTCCAAAATAGGAAATAATTAATTATATTTAATCCCCACCCCACATTTTATCCTCTCACGTCATCCAAATAAAAAAATAAAATATATATTTGTCTCTCCATCACATCACTTAATTTCTAAATTATCTTACTTAATACTACCCACCTAAAAACTCGTGCCAAAAGCAAATGTTGCACCTTGTTTGGGACGGAGGGAATATAAGTTATTAATACTGTTGGTTAGTTTTCGATCACATATAAATTAGTTTAGTAGGGTTAATTTAGCTATGAGTTCATGGTGTCAACAATTTTAGCATGCTCTATAAACATATCTTGGTTAGAACTCTCAAACTTGTAGAAAAAAAAAAAAAAAAAAATTGATTTCAGCACATATATATAGCACAATAAGCTTAACTCAATTAATTCACATAGAGTTACCTTAACTTGAAGATGTACGACGTATCCGAGAACAATGCCTATTGGCAATCCGAGGACGTAGAAGCATATGAAATTAATAACGGCAACCTTTGTCTGCAAACCAGTTCCGACTGCCACACCTGCACATCCATCAACAAGCGATATATACCTCAACAAAAACGAAGAATGTATTTTAAAGATATGTAACAAAATTGCTTATAATTCACTTGTGTTTTGAAAAATATTTACGATTTTTCTTTGTAATTTTTTGAAACTGCATTAAGTTTCTTCGCATTCTCGAAAAGGTTGCACAAATTACCTTTTTTATGAGATTTTGTGTAATATTTTCAAAATTACAATGGAAACTCATGCAATTTTTAAGGAATTATATGCAATATTTTCTAAAGCAAGAGTAAGTTTCGTCAGTTTTTAAATCTTCAAAAAGTATGGTGCAGATTTCGAAGGGATGAATTATAACTAGATTCTCTTGGATAGCTAGCTAAGCTAATTGTTTAATTTCACTTTCAAACAAGTCAATAAAAAAGCTTAAAGATTTAATTAAATCTTTAAGCTTTTTTATTGACTTGTTTGATAAAGGCACAACCCTTCAATGAATTAGAACTCATTGAGGGGGCCTATGATTCAGAAATTGTATGAAACTCTTTGTGTTTTCGAGGGAATTTTGTGCAATATTTTCGAGAACATAAGGGAGTATAATGCAATTTTTAAAAACTATGTACAATGTTTTTCCAAGATACAAATGAACCGAATGCAATTTCTAAATTATGAGCAATTATGATGCAGATTTTTCAAAATACAGATGAATTATAACTAAATCCTCTCGGAAAGCTAGCTAAGCTAATTGTTTTAATTTCCTTCAATTAAATCGTTAACCTTTTTGATTGACATGTTGAGCCCCCAACCATATAGAACCAATTGAGGGGGCCTCGGCCGAGGAAGTGGAGAGTGGCCGAGTAGTCAAAAGCGACATACTTCAAATAAAATTTAAAGATTTTTCGAGATATATATATATATCATGAGTTGAATCTTATATAACCTGAGAGCAATGGGAAGATGCTGCCAAGCAAAACCGTATTAGCGAGCAGGACGGAAAGATCTCCCACGAGCTCCACAACTTCCTCATCGTCACTGAACAAGTGTCCGAGCTTGTTGCCAAAGCACAAGCAAAGCACCCAAAGGAGAACCCCTATCACCACTCCTGTGCCCATCACAACTTTGATCGAAAACTTTACTGCCTTTGCATCTCCTCGCCCCAATTCATTCGCCACGCGCACACTGTTCTTAATTAAGAAGTGATCACCACATACTCGATTGGAGTTAAACAAGAACAGTTCAGTGTGTATACTAACCACGCGGCGCCCATTAATCCGACAAAGAGATTCACTATCCAGCCGGTGATGTTAAGGCTGAAAGTTTATACGAAAAAAAAAAAAAAATGAAGTTTTCGAACCACTAGATGGAGAACTAACAGATTTAAAGTGAGCTTTTTTACCAAACAGAAAAGGCAGCTATGGCGATCTCGGCATTTTTCATGTAGCCCGCGACTAACACCAATATTGCATAGTACCACAGCTCCAAACTACAAAGAACATCCAAACCAAAAATTAATGAAGTGATTGATCAAGCAAAAATGAATGCTGATGATACTTCGTTTAGACAGAGCGCTTTGGAATTTTGAAGTTTTGAAAAGTTTTCAAAATAGTAAAAAATAAGTATATAATGTGATACTTTGTAAAAAAAAATATGGCGGGACTACACTGCTGAATTTAAAATTCAGCACTACATAATAACAAACAGGACATTGTAGTACTTCTGGCAGCATATCTCTTATATTAATATAATATAAATACAGCGCATGCTATAGTCACATACAACACAATTTTAGCACATGCATACTCTTATACAACATACGTATATTTCTAAACATAACATGCGTTGTATGTAATAAGAACATGTATTTTTTTTTATATATTATAGGTGCTAATTTGAAAATTTCAGCAATTCAGCATAGTGCTGACTTTTTCAAATCAGTGACAATTCCCAAAAGATATATATTCGATAAGATGTTTTAAAAACTTACTATAGATAAACAGTGACAAAAATTTCAATAGTATCTGTATAAACAGAGGCATTTACCAAACCATCACACCCGATGATATTGATAGCTTCATGACCGGAATCAAGTCCTTCACGGCCGCAATGGACAATCCTTTCCAAGTGTTGGGACACCATCCACAAAAAATGTACACAAACTCTCCCAAAACGACGAGCCAAGAAGATATCGACAGCGCAACCATGGCGCCGGCAACTCCAAGCCCCAAAATATTCGTAAATAGCCAAGACAACAGGATATGGACGACGAATTGCAGCACACTTAGCCAAGCAATTATCGCATTCTTCTGCTGCGCTTGTAGATACATCTGTATGGTGAGGCTGAAGATGATGCCATAAGTGAAAGGTATAAACCACAAAGAAATATATCCAGCAGAGTCCGAGACACTCGGATCCTGACCGAGCATTTTAAATATTGGCGCCGCGAAGATTAGGATAGGAAGAAGAATAGTTAGAGTGATGAGATCAATGAGCCATGATCTTTGCAAGTATATTCCCATCATGTGGTATTGTTTGGCGCCGTATGCTTGGCCGCAAAGAGTTTCTGTCGCGCTCGACATTCCAAGCTATCATCGAAACATCATTCTATAAGAACAAAACCCTTTTTCTTTTTTTTTTTGGTATTCAATGATCGTAAATTTGATGAAACAAAGAGTGTTTTACCAAAATACCGTTGATGAATCGCACGATTAATGTTTGGACAAGCGCGTAGCCAGCAAGATCTAACGAGCTTACGTGCCCGATGAATGATTGTGTAACAACAAGTGTACCAAATGAACTAACTCTTGAGATTATACTTGGCATTGCAACTCTCCATATTTTCTTCGACTCAACCCAAACTTCGGTCTTTAAGCTTCGCAGCTGCTCCGATTTCGAGCTCAGAAGACTCTCTTCCATGCTCATGCTGCTACTGTCATTCATGCATAACATAGCAAGTGTAGATTTAGTTCGATCAAAGACAGTGGCGGATCTAAGAAGGGGCTCGAGAGAGCACGAGCCCCCCGAGCTCCACGTTTCATTTAAATTTTTAATGTAAAATTAATTTTTTTAAAAAATATAATTATATTAATTTATCTCTCAAAATATCAAAATAGTAAAATTATCATTTTGTTATTTTTTTTATTTTCACCGGTTACTTCTGCGATAAAAAAAAAAGTATAGTATCAAATTAGTAAAAATATACTGACAAATCAGCCTTTGAAATTTGGAGAAGTGTACATTTCATTAATAAAATATCAGAAAGAGGCCTAATCCATATCGGATATATAGATAATAATTTACTTTCTTCATCCGAGCTTTTTATACTTAAAAAATAATAATATTTTAATATAAAAGTGAGATAAGTAACAAATAAAGTAGAATAATATAAAAATTTTATTACAGGGGTAATAAAAAAAAATTAGTCTCAAAATGGTTATTATTTATTTATTATAGTAATAAAATTACGAATGAATAAAATTATTTATTATAAATATATTACATATAAGTTTAACGGACGGGAAAAAAATAAAACATAGCATAATTATTAATATAATTAAATAATAACTTAATCTAAATAATCCTAAAATAAACAATTTAAATATAAAACATACCTACCATCCTCTCAAACTTAATGACTTAAATAGTATTGTAGAAACAAATTTAAATGTGTTAGGAAAAATTGAAGTTAATGCAATTAAAATCGTTCACCAGTTTTGGGACAGATTTTTTAATTCAGTGTAGACTTTTTTAGTCCATAGTTTCGATATCATATTATATTTTGCAGAATTTTTTAATTGCATTGATAAGAAATGGGGTGCTAATGCAGATGCAGTTGACCAAATAATAATTAAATATAATAAATTAATTAAAAAATCATAAATATATATATATATACTTCCTCCGTCCTATGACAAAGTATCTATTTTTCCATTTTAGTCCGTCCTATAACAAATATCAATTTCCTTTTTTTTAGTAACTGTATTATCTACTTAATATTACAAATACCCTTACAATTTACAATATATTACACAAATGTCATTATCTTTATATCACGCATACTAATAAGGTTATTTTAGTCATTTCTAATTTATTATAATACTAATATTTCTAAAACTACTTGCAAAAAATAAATAAATACTTACTTCTGGGACGGAGGGAGTATATAAAATATGAAAAAAAATCTGTCGTTCACGTGTATATGTAAGCAATGGTCGAATGCAAATTGGTTGTAAATAAAATTAATTTTCAAGATTCAATAATTGTACTATATATAAAGTAATATTCAACACTGCCATGATTGTCGTTTTCTTGCTTTGCTAAATTACATCAGACAACCAATGGCAATTTATTGGTTTTGTCCTAAGAAATATGCAATCAAGCAAAGAACATCTTTTTGGCAGTGAATAATGAAAGAACACAAATTTGGCTTTTTGCAGTTTGTTCAACCACTAAATAATTTTTTTTTTCTTTTTTTTATCACCAATCAACACAAGTTTTTAAAAAATTATTTCCGCTACCTTGATAAACATTTTATGATAATTAATATTTCAATATTTAAAATAAAAAAAATAATTGAATATACTTTCTCTCTTCTGCATTATTTTTCTTTGTAATTTAAAAAATATTACACAGAATCTTTTCAAAATACCGTATTTTCAAAAATATTACAAAACTCCTGACAGATGTAATAATTTAGAAACACGACGGGGTTTCATGTATTTCTAAATCATGAATGAAAATGATGCAAACTTCTCAAATCATGTATGGATAATGGGCAATTTTTTCTAATAATAATAAGACGATGATGACAACGAATCACCATTTCTATGGTGGAAGGAAGATTTAGAGGAAGAAAAGTAAAGCAAGAAGTGATGAGAGAAATTAATCAAAATCGGGATTTTATCCACACTTTCGGATAGTGGCTGCGAATTTTCACGTTATAAAAAAAATATAAAAAATAAAAAATAAATAGTGAAGAATTAATTAGGTTAGAGAGTGCATACCTTTAGTTTACTTGTTGAAGATGGAGATATGGAGGAGAGGAGAGGCCTTTTACTAGCACTATCTTATAAGAGTCGTGGACTTGTTTCTTTCTCTAATAGATGATAGCAAATAAATAAATAACAAACGTGTCAAGATAAAAGGGTTTGTTTTTTTCGATTTCAAAACTAGCGTTTGTGTTTACTTATAAGATTTTAGTTTTGAGTTTTGATTTTGAATAGTGAAATTTTAAATTAAATTAATTGTTTAATGGGATATAAATATGTATTGATATAATATTTTGAATATAAAATTTAATTTATTTATAATATAATAAAAAGATATGTAATTTAATGTTTTCGATAGTAAAACCAAAAATCAAATCCCACAAGTAAATATATATCTTTGTTGGTTGACTCTCGTTCGTAAATAAATAAATAAGTAATGTTTATTCCTAAAAACTTGAACTTTTAGCTTAGACGGTCATTTACTTCATTTAACATTGTCTCAGAATCTTAGATCTCGAATTCGTGATAAATTATGGCATGGAAATATCATTTAAATGAAAACTCAAATATAATATTTCATCTAATAAATTTCAAATTACAAACCAATTAAAGTTTGTTTATATTTTATAATTTTAAGTATTTTTGTTATAAAATGCGAACAATTATAAAATTACAAGATTAAATAATATTTTGTGTAATTTTGTTAATCTTTGTATATATTTTTTTTAGTGTATATATTATATATTATACTCGCTCCGATAATTATGTCATTTGATTGGATATGTAAGAACAAAAGGTAATGATATATTAATATAAAGGTAGAATAAATTAATAGATTTGTTCCCTTTGTATTTTTTTTATGAATGTATCTTTTTGATCGCTGCGAATCCGATGTTGATCCAATCAAATTAATATAGTGTTGATTTGATCGTGTCAACATATTACATAAAAGTAATCAACATATATTATAATATCTCCATCTCATATATATATATATATATATTTATTTGCTTTTTTCATGAAGTTTTAAAAACATTAGTATTAGAATGGTTCTCTTAATCTGTTGATAGAGTACACTCTGTCGTGTACCCTATCTATCTTCCTTACGTAACTTCCTTACCTATCTTTCTTACCTATCTTCCTTGCCGGGTTTAGAGCGATTTTTCGCGCAGCTTGCTCATAGTGCGGGTCCCTGAAGCCCTAAAGACCAAAGCAGACTGGCTAATCGGTCCCAATTTCTTTTATTGAGATGATTCCTATCAAAAAAATAAGAATTCGATTTTATTTGGAAGTCGCTTTCGGCTGCTAGTCCTTTCTTTCTCTTTTCTGGTTTGAAATCAGAAGTTCGAGAGGATGATCAGCCACACTGGGACTATTGGGATATAGTAGAAATAAAAGTAAAAAGACTAAATTAACCCTATTAGTATTGTATGATATAAAGGTAATGACATTTGTGGAATATATTGTAAATTGGAAGGGTATTTGTAATGTTAGGTAGATAATACAATTATTAAAAAAAAAAAAATTGATACTTTATTATGAGACGGACCAAAATGAAAAAATAGATAGATTATTAAGGGACAAAGAGAATATATTATTATAAAATATTTATAATATTTTATAATACAATATATAATGCATTATCCAAAATATATAATGCATGTGTTTATATGATATGTTGACATGATGAGATCAATAACATGTTTTGTTTTTTTTATATGAAAAAAGATCATGTGTAGTTCAGTAGTGTTGATTGTTTTTTTATTAAATTACATGTTTATCCTTGGTGTGTTTGGCAATTAGGTGATAGTTTTTAGTTGTTAGCTAATTCAATTAGTTGTTAGCTGATTCAATTAGCTAATTTGACTAATTGATTCAATTAGCGGTTTGTATTAAAATGTTTGTTATTAATTATTGAAAATTATAAAAATATTATAAAATATTTATTTTTATTTTTATTATTTAGATCTGAGAAAATTAATTTTACTAAAAAATAATAATTTTTTATTAAATTATGTAAAATATAAAATAATAAATTTTTCGTATATATATTTTTATTACGTTAATTATTTTTTTAATATATATAAATAAATTAATAACATTTGTTTTTTCTATTTAATTTAGTTTTAAAAATTTATATATTTTATAAATAAAATAATTTACATGTAATAATTAATAATAGTAATTATTTTAAATTTACAAAAATAAAAATATAATTTAATAAATTAAATATATTAAAAATAATTAATAAATACTGCTATAAAAAATATAGTTACATGTATAAAATAAATAATTAAGTTTTAAGGGTAAATAAGGAATAACTAAAATTAAAATGAAAAAGCTCTTTCAAAACATTGGGTAGATGAGTTTTTCAAAGTTGAGGTTTTTCGATCCAAAAAGTTCTTTCAAAAAACTAATTTACCAAACATATAAATTAACTTTTTAACTAATCAAACAGCTAAAACTTGTTCAATAAGCTAAAAGATTTTCAAAAAGTTGTTTTCCAAACACCCTCCTTATATTAAAATCTTTATCATTAAGGGTGCGTTTGGCAATTACCTGATAGCTTTTAACTGATTCAATTAGCTGATTGTATTAAAATGTTTGGTAAAATAACTGTTTGACATTAGTTGTTTATACGTAAAATAACAATTAAGGACATTGATATGTTATTTTTTAAAATGTTTAATTTTTGTTGATTTTAGTTTAAAAATTATGAGAATTTTTGTTACTAATTATTAAAATCCATAAAAATATTCTAAAATTTTTATTTTTATATTTTAGATTTGAGAAAAATATTTTTATTAAAAAAATAGTAATAATTTTTTGTTGAAAAATTGTATAAAATATAAAATAATAAATCTTACGGATATATATTTATTTTGATAATTGTTGTTTATTATATTTTAATGTAAAATTTATATAATTAAAAATATATAAATAAATTAAATATTTATCTTTTCTATTTGATTTAATTTTAATAGATTTATATATTTTACAAATAAAATAATTTATATATAATAATTAATAATACTAATTATTTTAAATTTACAAACATAATTTATAATTTAATAAATTAAATATAATTAATAAATACTGCAATAAAAATATATTTATATGTATAAAATAAAAAATTAGTTTTTAAGAGTAAATAAGAAATAAATAAAATTTAAATGAAAAAAATATTTCAAAAAGTTGAGTTTATTAACTTTTTAAAAATTAATTTTTTGGATCCAAAAAATTATTTTAAAAAACTAATTTATCAAATATATAAATTAATTTTTTAAACGGTTAAACAACTAATTTAAAATATGTTAAAAAAACTCTTTCTTAAAAACCCCTTAATATTAAGTAAGATTAAGAGCAAGCGTAAATGGGTATAGGAAATACCCAAGTAAGATGTAATGTCAGATATTAAAATTTAAAAAAAAATAAAAAAAATAAAAAAATTTTACGGATAGATACTAATGAGATGTGTACTTTTCTATTTTATTTTATTTTTTTAATATTTGTATTTTTATTTTTATTATTTTATATTATACTTCCTCTATTCCGTAACAAGAGTGACATTTGCTTTTTACACGTAGATTTTTGAATATTAGTATTATATATATTATAGTAAAAAAATATAAAAATACCCCTATTAGTACAGTGTAATATAAAAGTAATGACATTTGTGTAATATATTGTAAGTTGAAAGAGTATTTATTATGTGAAGTAAATAGTACAATTACTAAATTAGGAAATGATAATCTTGTTTTGGGACGGACGAAAATGGAAAATGGTAACATTAGCTTTCAATGAGACGGAGAGAGTATAAAATTTTATTTTTTACAAAATAATATATACTAATATTTAAAATTTTTGAAGTTTAAAAATAAATAATTTTTATATAAATATAAATATAAATATTTAAGTATTTTTTGTAGAGTTGGAAGAAAGAAATTTAATGCGGAGGAAAGAGATTTGATCGAAAATAATTTGAATAAACTAATAAATTTTTACTTTAAAATTATCAACAACATCATTCAAGAATAATTAATTTTGGTCCTCATATAAAAAATTCATCAATTTTGGTCTTAATATAACTAATTTCAATCAATTTTAGTCCCACAATTATAAAACTAACATAAATTGTTGATGTGGACCTAACGGAATCGATGTGGCAGCTGATCTGGACATAACATGGCCGTGTACAATATATGGCCGTGTATATTTTTAAAGCATGTTTGTGGATGGATACAAGGAATGGTGTTATTGTTTGATTGGAAATATTGAAATAGAAAATTATAAAAAAATATGTAAATAAGACCATGCTTTTAATTTAAGCCCCGAATGTGTTCGATGAAAATGCCTCAAAGAATCAAAAGATAATAAAACAAGAAGATCAATGGTGACTATTTGATTTTTGCCACACCTCCCAATGCACCAAAAATCAACAATCCTTTTGTTTACAAAACAATTGCTCCATCCGTTCCACAATAAGGGTTCTATTTTCCACACGATCATGTAGGAACACAATTGCGACTAGGCAAATGATGATTGAGATATACACGGGCGTGTTGGATTATACCCAGTCGTGTTATGTCCAGATCAGCTGCCACATGAATTTCATTATGTCCACATAAGCAATTTATGTTAGTTTTATATTTTTGGGACTGAAATTTATTAAAATTTGTTATATTGAAACCAAAATTGATGAATTTTTTATATTTGAACCAAAATTGATTAATCTTAGTTATATTGATAGCAAAATTAATTTTTTTCCAAAACATAATAAAAAAAATATCATAATTTATTATTATTAGTACTCATCGAGAGCATATGCAATGGAAATTTGTTAAAAAAGCCTCATACATAATGTGTCGCTGAGGTGTCCAAATCTGTATTTGCAATGAGGCTTTTTATTTTATGTATAGCACAACAATGAATACATTTTTATTACTGAAACATCCATTGCAGCGGAGAAAATAATTTGCTCCGACTTCGCTGGCTTCACCAAGCCTTTCCCAGGCTTTCTTGTGTAGTAATTTTTTTAATTCGGGCCTTTAGGGCTAAAGAGAAATCCTCCAATTTAGACACATTGTAATACCGTACTTAACAATCTATCTATTTTTTTACTTTGATTCGTTTCATAATAAAGTATTC